TTAAAAAACGCCGTTTTACTTCAAAACTTTTAGAAATTTGGATTTATTTCTCCAACATTACAGTTTTTATGTAATAACATTAATTGAATGAATTCTTTACACGTTGAAGCTGGTGAACTTGAAGAAGAGAACATCCAAAAGTCAATACCATACAAAATTGGATAAATACATAAGCCCGCGTTTTTAAAGAAAGAGTTACAGAACGTGATTTGGCTAATGAGTGCAAAAAAGTATTGAGTTAATCAGAATAAAAGTTGTTACAACTTAGTTTACTTATAAAATAATAAAGTAAATATGCACAAAAATTTGGTGAAATGTAAAAAAATTTCACTTTCCGAAGACTTATTTACCTAATAACATATAGTAAATGCCGCGTGCCTCCAAGGTAAAGTTCGCCAAAAAAAATATTTTACGCTTTGATGACTTTGAAAATAAAAGTATGACGTATACTTTATATATTGCTTGTTTCTATTTTTAGCAAATTATGTTTAAGTTTTGTTACACCAGAAATTGTCAAAATCAGTGTATATTTGCGTCAAATTTATATGCAATTTTCTCTAGTTGACTCGCGGATCGTCAATTAAAGTTAGAATACCAGCTTACGACCTACCTGCTCGACCATTATAAATCTTTTTCTTATTTGTCGTTGTTTTTATCACCAAAATTTATTAATCGCGCCTCACTCCGTACTGCGCCTTAATTTCAAATTATTAAAATATTAAAAGAAGTTCAACAAACTGATTACAAAATGCATTAATAATGCAAATTTTGTAGCACCAATCTAATTGAATTTTTCTCTCTATTTTTTTTTTTTTTTTCAAATAGTACGGTTAGAATTTCAAAAACAAAAAAATTTTNTGTTCATGTATAAAAAAGTCCAAAAAAAGCACCATTTTGTCCGATTTTGTTTTATTACAAAAAAACAAAAATTAAACAAAATGGTGCTTTTTTAGATATTTACTGTATTACACATGAGCACAAATATTAAATAAATTTAATTCATTTCGTTTTTATTTGGTACCATTTAATTATTTTTTTCATTGATCGATTAATTAAAAAATAATTTAATTATATTTTGTAATTCCACGAAACCTGATTAATAAATTGCATTGCGAAATTTTTCAGAAACTAGAAAAATGATCATTTATCGCTCGGAAATTTTTTTTTATAGGAAGTTATTAAAAAAAATTAATTAAAAAAATGACATAATATTATTCCGTTGATCAATCGGGTTTCGAACCTATGTTTATTAATTAGGCCATCCAAATTAGGGCATCCTGACTATAAATGTAACAATATATTTTAGGACCTAAATATAGTATTTTAGGTACACATTGCCTATAAATGCACAATAAAATAAGTTAAATATTCATCTTACAAATTCGCAACACGAAATTTCGTCAAAGGACTTTTTACCGAAGTCATTTCGCTGAACTAAAAATTTTAAATTATATTTTTCCAAATATTCATATGATATTTACGTTACTAAAAACATTATAATTAATATTGGGTATTGCTAAACATCACCGGGGGTGAAATTATGATGTAATGCTGGCCAATATTTTATTAGATTTTTAATTCTGGTCGAAAGCACATCATAATGCTGGTACGGTGACCATCCTTACATTACGACAAATTAGTAAATATTTGCGTTAAATACTTAAATTTATAAATAATTTTCTCTAGTTGACTCGCGGATCGTCAATTAAAGTTAGAATACCAGCTTACGCCCTACCTGCTCGACAGTTATAAATCTTTTTCTTATTTGTCGTTATTTTTATCACCAAAATTTATTAATTGCGCCTCACTCCGTACTGCGCCTTAATTTCAAATTATTGAAATATTAAAAGAAGTTCAACAAACTGATTACAAAATGCATTAATAATGCAAATTTTGTAGCACCAATCTAATTGAATCTTTTCTCTCTATTTTTTATTCCAAATAGTACGGTTAGAATTTCGAAAACAAAAAAATTTTATACCATTGAAAATCTTCCTTGCTTTCGTAAAAAATTTCATGATCGTCAATACCGTATCGATCATGGAAAAATGACTTTTGTCGTCAAAATAGGGATTCATTAAAAATGGTTTCGGAAAAATGAGATTTTGGTAAAACAATTATAATATTTTATCAATGGAAACATCTAAATAAATATAAAATAATAAAAATTATATAATAAGTAATAAATAATATGTATGACTGTGCCAGTGGTGTGATTTATTAATTTTTGTCAAAAAAATTAATTACAAATAAAAATATAGAGATTATATCTAATTTCATAATAATAAGATTTCATTAAATTTCAAATATTATAAAAAGAATTAAAGCAGTTTGCTCACACTTATATTTGGTGTTAAACAAAACCATCTATTAAAAAAAACTATATATTCTGTTTATAATGTAAAATAATTAAAAGTACCCATCACATTAAAACATATGCTAGAGAAGCTACAGCTTGTACTTCCTCAAAAGAGCCTGGATGGAAGCAGAAACTCAACTTTTTAGAAAAATTTTCTTGCTTAATAGGGAAGGTGAAATGATTTTTGAAAAATAAAAAATCATCTGAGAAGTGATCATCATATTTTGCTATTAGCTCAAATACTTGTATTGGATTCCCATTTGTTGAATATGTTGTCATTCCAGCTACAAGTTGAAAAGACTTATGTGGTGGCACTAATAAAACAGGTGCTGAACATGCGAATATACTTTCATGATCATTGTCCCATAATTGAGCACTTTTATCGTCAACACAGAATGCATCATTTGAGTCAATATCAACACAAGATTCGCCATCTCCACAGCTAAAATTAGTATCTACAGCTGTGCCTGGATGATCAAAAGATTCACATGAAACCCTCACTGATTTTCTTGTAGCACAAGCGGAGCTTTTATATTTAGCATTTTTAGGATCAGTGCATTTAGGCCTAGCGGATACAAAACCATCAGTGCTAAAAGTCTGATTTTGTAAATTTACTACAGGTATTCCTACTACAGCTGAAACCAAAAAGAAAATATATATAATATATAATTGAGCAAACATATTCTGAGAATGATATGGAAAGAAAAGTGAAGTTTTTAATTTGTTTTTGTAAAAAAAAAATAAAGAAAATGAATATTATTTTTTACAGTGATATTTTCATGCCATTATTTATACATTTTACCTATAAAAAATCTTATCCGTAAAAAAGAGCCTTTTATTAATTTCTGAACCGGAAATATGAGCCTTTTACGGAAAAAAGATCAACTTTTCTTACAGGGCATGAAGCAAATTCCCGTCACGTATGTCGATCCTATTCATGGTGTATTGTAATATATGTGATCGACAACGTGCATGTCTGGATTCATATTTTTGCGGGTATGATAAACAAATCCTTTATTTTTTTTTCTATTAAATATAGTTAACCCTATAAAAAAGAAATGTGTTAAATTTGGATGTTCATGTATAAAAAAGTCCAAAAAAAGCACCATTTTGTCCGATTTTGTTTTATTACAAAAAAACAAAAATTAAACAAAATGGTGCTTTTTTAGATATTTACTGTATTACACATGAGCACAAATATTAAATAAATTTAATTCATTTCGTTTTTATTTGGTACCATTTAATTATTTTTTTCATTGATCGATTAATTAAAAAATAATTTAATTATATTTTGTAATTCTACGAAACCTGATTAATAAATTGCATTGCGAAATTTTTCAGAAACTAGAAAAATGATCATTTATCGCTCGGAAATTTTTTTTTATAGGAAGTCATTAAATTAATTAAAAAAATGACATAATATTATTCCGTTGATCAATCGGGTTTCGAACCTATGTTTATTAATTAGGCCATCCAAATTAGGGCATCCTGACTATAAATGTAACAATATATTTTAGGACCTAAATATAGTATTTTAGGTACACATTGCCTATAAATGCACAATAAAATAAGTTAAATATTCATCTTACAAATTCGCAACACGAAATTTCGTCAAAGGACTTTTTACCGAAGTCATTTCGCTGAACTAAAAATTTTAAATTATATTTTTCCAAATATTCATATGATATTTACGTTACTAAAAACATTATAATTAATATTGGGTATTGCTAAACATCACCGGGGGTGAAATTATGATGTAATGCTGGCCAATATTTTATTAGATTTTTAATTCTGGTCGAAAGCACATCATAATGCTGGTACGGTGACCATCCTTACATTACGACAAATTAGTAAATATTTGCGTTAAATACTTAAATTTATAAATAATTTTCTCTAGTTGACTCGCGGATCGTCAATTAAAGTTAGAATACCAGCTTACGCCCTACCTGCTCGACCATTATAAATCTTTTTCTTATTTGTCGTTATTTTTATCACCAAAATTTATTAATTGCGCCTCACTCCGTACTGCGCCTTAATTTCAAATTATTGAAATATTAAAAGAAGTTCAACAAACTGATTACAAAATGCATTAATAATGCAAATTTTGTAGCACCAATCTAATTGAATCTTTTCTCTCTATTTTTTATTCCAAATAGTACGGTTAGAATTTCGAAAACAAAAAAATTTTATACCATTGAAAATCTTCCTTGCTTTCGTAAAAAATTTCATGATCGTCAATACCGTATCGATCATGGAAAAATGACTTTTGTCGTCAAAATAGGGATTCATTAAAAATGGTTTCGGAAAAATGAGATTTTGGTAAAACAATTATAATATTTTATCAATGGAAACATTTAAATAAATATAAAATAATAAAAATTATATAATAAGTAATAAATAATATGTATGACTGTGCCAGTGGTGTGATTTATTAATTTTTGTCAAAAAAATTAATTACAAATAAAAATATAGAGATTATATCTAATTTCATAATAATAAGATTTCATTAAATTTCAAATATTATAAAAAGAATTAAAGCAGTTTGCTCACACTTATATTTGGTGTTAAACAAAACCATCTATTAAAAAAAACTATATATTCTGTTTATAATGTAAAATAATTAACATAAAAAAAGTACCCATCACATTAAAACATATGCTAGAGAAGCTACAGCTTGTACTTCCTCAAAAGAGCCTGGATGGAAGCAGAAACTCAACTTTTTAGAAAAATTTTCTTGCTTAATAGGGAAGGTGAAATGATTTTTGAAAAATAATTTATCATCTGAGAAGTGATCATCATATTTTGCTATTAGCTTAAATACTTGTATTGGATTCCCATTTGTTGAATATGTTGTCATTCCAGCTACAAGTTGAAAAGACTTATGTGGTGGCACTAATAAAACAGGTGCTGAACATGCGAATTTACTTTTATGATCATTGTCCCATAATTGAGCACTTTTATCGTCAACACATAATGCATCATTTGAGTCAATATCAACACAAGATTCGCCATCTCCACAGCTAAAATTAGTATCTACAGCTGTGCCTGGATGATCAAAAGATTCACATGAAACCCTCACTGATTTTCTTGTAGCACAAGCGGAGCTTTTATATTTAGCATTTTTAGGATCAGTGCATTTAGGCCTAGCGGATACAAAACCATCAGTGCTAAAAGTCTGATTTTGTAAATTTACTACAGGTATTCCTACTACAGCTGAAACCAAAAAGAAAATATATATAATATATAATTGAGCAAACATATTCTGAGAATGATATGGAAAGAAAAGTGAAGTTTTTAATTTGTTTTTGTAAAAAAAAAATAAAGAAAATGAATATTATTTTTTACAGTGATATTTTCATGCCATTATTTATACATTTTACCTATAAAAAATCTTATCCGTAAAAAAGAGCCTTTTATTAATTTCTGAACCGGAAATATGAGCCTTTTACGGAAAAAAGATCAACTTTTCTTACAGGGCATGTAGCAAATTCCCGTCACGTATGTCGATCCTATTCATGGTGTATTGTAATATATGTGATCGACAACGTGCATTTCGGGATTCATATTTTGCGGGTATGATAAACAAATCCTTTATTTTTTTTTCTATTAAATATAGTTAAGATATTTAACCCTATAAAAAAGAAATGTGTTAAATTTAGATGTTCATGTATAAAAAAGTCCAAAAAAGCACCATTTTGTCCGATTTTGTTTTATTACAAAAAAACAAAAATTAAACAAAATGGTGCTTTTTTAGATATTTACTGTATTACACATGAGCACAAATATTAAATAAATTTAATTCATTTCGTTTTTATTTGGTACCATTTAATTATTTTTTTCATTGATCGATTAATTAAAAAATAATTTAATTATATTTTGTAATTCTACGAAACCTGATTAATAAATTGCATTGCGAAATTTTTCAGAAACTAGAAAAATGATCATTTATCGCTCGGAAATTTTTTTTTATAGGAAGTCATTAAATTAATTAAAAAAATGACATAATATTATTCCGTTGATCAATCGGGTTTCGAACCTATGTTTATTAATTAGGCCATCCAAATTAGGGCATCCTGACTATAAATGTAACAATATATTTTAGGACCTAAATATAGTATTTTAGGTACACATTGCCTATAAATGCACAATAAAATAAGTTAAATATTCATCTTACAAATTCGCAACACGAAATTTCGTCAAAGGACTTTTTACCGAAGTCATTTCGCCGAACTAAAAATTTTAAATTATATTTTTCCTAATATTCATATGATATTTACGAAAATTTTGTTATGATACTAAAAACATTATTTAAAATAACTAGTTTAAAATAATTTATTGCTAAACATCACCGGTGGATGTAATGCTGGCCAGTATTTTATTAGATCTTTAATTCTGGCCGAAAGTACATCATAATGCTGGTACGGTGACCATCACCGCCTGTGAGCTTTAGCAATTTCATTAATATTTTTTAATAATAAATAGGGTATTAAATTTAATTTTAATGATAGAATGTCAATCGCTAACATTTTCGGAATGACCGACCTATTTCCTTCTAAAGATTGTTCGAAAATAGATATTTCGTAAATAATTTAAAAGGGAACTAATAAATAAAAATAATAAATATTATAATAAAATAAAATTCGAAAAAAGTTCACATGTATTTGCTTATAATATAAAATATGAGGCAGCCTTGGTGTCGGTGAAATGGATGATTCGGAGAAAAGTATTCGGCGAAATGGCGAAATGTCCATTCAGAGAAATTTCCATTCGACGAAATGACCCTTCGGCGAAACATCCTTTCGATGAAATGGCTTCTGCGACAAGTTCTCCGGTGAAGGACTTAGGAGAAACGACAGAAACGTATACATATTAGTATACCGAATTACACCCATTAGAAAATGTGAGACTCTTGAATGATAGAATTAATCTATCTCACATTCCTGATTACCAGTTGTCACGTCATTATAATTTACAATCCTAATTCAACAACAGATTCAGCAACAAGTCCAGTATCCTATTTATCAGCAAAATGATATTCAACAACAATCCTTCTATAATACTAAATCTACTTCCCAAGTACTTATTCAAATAATGACACCTACAGCTTCAATTTTAGTAAACGGAACTGTTTCTTACAGTATGCAAGATGGATTCCAGAATTCTTCCTAAGAGCTAAGGACTCTATTAACACATTTTTCGAGTAAAATAAACGAGCTATTTCCTCTTCTTTTTTTATTTTACTTTAAGGTTCGAATGATAACTCATTTTTTATTCTTTATATGGCTAAGCTAAAATATTTAATTTTAAATTATTAAATAAGCTTTAAATCTAACATTACTATAAATTTTTTAACATAACCAAACGGTCCTTATCAATAGTATTATTATTTTATAAACTGAGAGTTATATAAAAAATTTAGCTTTTACAAATGAAAGTTCAACTTTAATTTTCTTATGTAAAGTTTATTTATTTTATTTCTTTTCATTTAATTTAGTTTCATTTCATTTTTTTTTTTTTTTTTTTTTTTTTATATTTTAAATTATTTTATTATGTTTTTTTATGTTCAAATTAACAAAAAAGAATTTTAAATTAAATTTATTAATTATCTGAAAAATGGTTACTATCATTATTTTTCGAGAAAAAAAAATTGCTAATATTTTTATTAACAAATAATATTGTTACAATTTTTGTGTTGTAAAATTTATTAAATTCTTGTAAATTTTTTAACGAAAAATTTTAATAAATTATTCAAAAGTAAATTATGTATTTAAGACAGAAAATTATTTTCGATTTTTTTTTTTTCGGAAAATATTGTAGTAACTATTAATAATTTTTCAGTATATGATTTTTTGAGTTATTGTTTCTTTGATTTAAAATTCTTTATTTTAACTGTTAATAAATTTATATTCGATAATTCATATGATTGGTTTTACATGAGCATTATGGTATTGGAAGAAAATTTGATTTCGTTAACGCAAAATTATTAAGAAAAGAAGAGAGGGTGGAAAGTATATAGAAGTTATAAACCAGTCGTGTGGCAAAGCTGAATTTACACCTATGGGAAAAAATAAATGTAAAACCAGAATAGTAAGAATAATATATAAAAGAATAAATGAATAATATCAGATGTACAACACATAGTCCAAAGCCACGAAAAAGTGCCAAATTTTAATCACGTGATTTATTCATCTCTCAGCGGTCATGTTTTCAAAGAAATTTCAGTATAAGAAATAGGCTAAGTTGTTTGAAAAACACTAGGGTTTTTAGAAGCTTTTAATCAAAAGCTGGGAGAGTTCATTAAGTGTTTTTTTCAAACTCCTTACAATATCCTATCCGTTAACAGTTAACTGATCATTCTTGTTATTTTCACTATCCTCTAATAAAATATCTTCAATTATAAGTGCTTCTGTTTTTTTCTATTTCTTAAATATGTTTTTAAGTTGTACATTTCTCTTTTTTGGAGATATTTTTGAATTGTGATTTAAAGATTAAACGAAAAGGATTTCAGGAAAATATACGACATGATTTTCGCAATTATTTTTATATTGAGAAATCTAGCCGGAATCATCATTGAGCCTTAATTCCGGCCTAATTTATGATAACCAAATTCTTTCGACTTTCATATAAAATTACCTTTAAAAATAAGATTTTTATGATCGAATTAGTATCCAATTGGAAAAAACTCTCCGTTATTATAACTGAATCACAGAACAATATTCTATCAAATAACAGGCTTAAATTTTTTTGTAATAATAACTAATGTTTTTTCTATTCATTTTTAACTTCCCTTTAAAGTTAACTTGGATTTAGACTGTGTGCACCGTGTGCACCGTAGCAAAAAGAACGTCGATCATCATCCAAATACTGACGAAAATTAAAATATGGGTACAGAAATGTTGACCTATGTAATGATTAACAAATGATTAACTCTCTCCGAAATTTTCAATTTTATTTATAATTCCGCAGTAAAAAATTTTTTATTATTATATGTATTATTTTTACACATAAAAATGTCTTCAACTTATCTTAAAATAAATATAGAGAGGTTACATAAACCGTCTTTCATGAAACTTCATATGAAACAGCAAGCCAAAGAACCGAACTAATGAATGGAGTTTTATATCTTTTCTTCACATCACAAAATACATATCTTACTTTATAAATACAATAACCGACATACTGGATTGTTGTCAAAATATTATATAATAGGATACGTTCTTACTTCTTATTTCGGAGGCTTAGAAGTTCGATAGTTTAGAAAGAACAAACTATCATAAAGTCGCATAATAATTTTCAATCCGAGAAAAAGTGGCCAAATGTGAATATCTGAGGACATAATTAAAAAAAAAACCAGTGACTACCTCATAATATTATGTAATAAGTTGTGAAAAAGTGGGCATCATCTGATATATAGATGCGACGAAAAATCCAGTAATTACCGCATTGGCGAATAAAATGCAAACTCAAAAACGTAACATTCGAGGAACATGCGGTCGTGTGTAAGAGGGGTTCGGTTCAAAAGGATTGCGTTTGTACTCCCTGTTCTGATGGTCACTATGTGCCAAGTAATTTGGGATTACCGGCAGGGTTGAGATGGTAATCGTGTGCTGTAATGAGATTATATACAAAAGTACGTATGAAAGGATTTTATTATAAGGACTGTCACATATGGTTTAGTGAGAGGCGCTTAAACATATGTAAAATCTATTAAACTCACGTGGACGACAGTACCATGGATCTCGGGATGTGTTGTCTTATTGGCCAGAGAATTCCTCGTGTCCTAGCAGTCTGGCATAGTTTGGTTGTACCAGAAAATACATCTTCACATAGCTTGTAGCCACAACTCCTACCTCTTGAAAAAAAAAAAAATTTTTGGAGGAATATTAAGATCCAAGGAAAAGAAGTATAAGATGGTCATTGTATGACATTCCCGTGGCTCACAGAAACTAGCGTAGTAGTTAAACTTTCGATATAAAAACGAATAATATCGCTGAAACCATTCTTTCAGTTTATTTAGATGGAGGGTAATTATAGTTTTATTTTTTTTTAACTAATTATGTATTAATTGTTTTCTAATGCTAATTTATTACGAACTTAAGTGTAAAAAATTCCAATCATCGCTAGTAGACGTTAGTGGGTGGCTAAATAGGATCATTTTTAACCCGCAATAAACGAAGAAACTAATAGTGTTCTTCGACAGTTTCAAGAAATTACAAGAGACTACTAGCACTAATTGGTCAGAATTATAACTGAGTTCTAACCCTCGTTTACGAAAAAAGAAAGCAAAAACGGGAATGATACAAGAAGAATATTATAAATAGGGATGGTGAAAAAGAGAAAGGTGAAGGTAAGAAAACAAAAAAGAAAACGAATCACAAATAACCATTGTCAGTAGGGAAGGTTTATGTACCGTATAGCGCTGCATATAGTACTCTGGGATACTGTGTGTGAAGAGGGTACTATACAAAGAATGGCTTTGGTCAAACATCAAATTTTGACCTAAATTGGTACCGAGTACTAATCAAAAATACTTGTAGTTGAATAATACCAGGGTACTACTTAAGGGTTCAGGGGATATGGTATGCAGCACTCTACGGTAATTTTTTGGAAGTATTTGTTAAATTGATTAGTTTATTGCTGTAGATGATAATTCTAATAAAGGAGTGGAACATCAGGACGTGACGAGGATTACGTAAGTAGTTGGAATAATTTTTTAAACACGTACTTTAATATTTGAAAAAACTTTCATCTCAAATAACGATCATATATTATTTTTCAGGAAGGATTAACAGTTAAATATAATTGTATCACCCGAATTTTATTTTTACAAATAGTAATAGTCTTTTAAAAACAAATAAACACGAATAATTATTTTGAATTTTCAAAGCACTTGTATATATGAGTATATAAAAGAATGATAAAATTAAGAATTATTTTTATTGATAATAAGTAAACGTGACAGTAGTGACATTTTTATTGATAATGTTCACCCTCACAAATTGATAAAAAAAAATAAGATGAAAAGAAGAAAACTACGATGTAATAATAAAATAATAAAATAAGATATATCGAGAAAAATACTGATCTAAAATAAAACCAAAATAGGTAAATCACTAAAACAAAATAAGAATAAAATTAAAAATAATCCTATAGAAACTGTGGCTTCATTATGCAACTTTTTAGGCTTGAAGACCCGCTTCGCACATGTATTGCTATGATTAATGAAAATAAAAAATAAAAATAATTAAAATGAAGTAAGTTAAAAAATAAAGAAAACCGCGGCAAAGATCATTTAATTTAGCTAAAAAAAAAAAAATCAACAATTGTGTACATTATTTACCAAAACCATTAACTATAATGATAAATCTATTAAGAAGAATTCTGGAATCCCGTATCTCCCATATCTTGTATATTATAGGAAACAGTTCCGTTTGCTGCTGTATTATATACTTGGGAAGTAGGTTGAGTAGTGTCGAATGGCTGTTGTTGAATGCCATTTTGATGATAAACAATAGGATGTTGGACTTGTTGCTGAATCTGTTGTTGAATCTGAGATTGTACATCATAATGATGTGGGATACGAGATAAATTGTTCAAGAGTTGAACATTTTCTGATAGATTTAATTCAGAATAAGAATAAATAACGCGATAAATACGAGTATCATTTGGTAAATAAAAATAAAACTCAAATGTAATATTATGAGGTGCGGGAGTTGTAGAATTAATAGTATTAATGTGCAAGGTATTATTATTAAGAATTTGTTGAGGTGCGGAGTTTCCGGTTTGATCCGTTGATAAATTGTAATAATCTTGTGTATTTTGGTTATTTGAATTCATGTTCAAAATCCAGATGATATTTAAAGTAGAAAATGAATAATAATAATAATAATAATTAATATAATTAGGAAATTTAATTTTTTAATAAGAAAGTAAACACGGATTCATCAAATCATTAAACAAATATTTTATAATTTCGTTATAAAAAATATAAATATTTTTTATTTTTTTTTTATTTACTTGAACAAACAAAATTGAAAAAGGAGCGTTAAATTTACTGCTTTTATACGAAAAAAAAACCTTTGATTATGAAAAAAATTTCAATTATATTCATTTTAATAAATTCAAATAATAATAATAAATAAATAAATAAATAAATTAAATTAAAAATATTATATTACGTTTAATATTTTTAGAAAATTCTTAAATTCAATTTACATACATGTATTCATTCATTAGAGAAAAAAAAAAAATTTTTTTTCATTGGCGTATTTTAATACAAAAAATACATATGATTTTTTTTTTAAAAAAAAAATCATTTTACAAACAAGGAAATATTTTCGGAAGTTAAGGAATTCAAATACCGTATATTCTTTTCTACAACTTGTTCAATCAAGTTTATAGAATTCAGTTATTACATATATCCTTTAATCCTTTAGATATTACATAGTATAACAGTTTTATCATAACAATTTTATTTATTTACAAATGAAATATAAAATAGCCTTCTGATTAATGTGAACTTAAGACGCTTTCATATGTTTTTGTTCTCTTGTCAGTTTTTTTTTAAATCGTGTATTATAGTAGAATACTACTCTCAAGTTCTTATAAATCGTATATATACTACTGAATGGTCACTTGATATATATAATATGAATGAATGAATTAACTAATAATAATAATATTTTGAAGAATATTGTTATAAACTGGATTTTTGATCTTCATACATAATACGTTGCACGGCTAAACATGTGACGTTTTTATTTCAAGTAATAAATCAATGAAATAATTCTTAATGAGTTTTTTTTTAGTTCTATTATAAATTGTCCAATTATTTATATGATACATTTCATAACATGAAATACAATCGTTTTTTAAGATAGAAATACATCACAATTGTGACGATTATATTTATAATAGTTGAATATTATTTTCAAACTTGCCGAATTAAGTAATAAATAGAATGATTTTGTTATATTCTTCTATGAAAGAACAAAAATCACAATTGATCATCATATAAGATTTTCTATTATTTACAAAAATAAATAAATAAATAATATAAAGAGTTGAATTATTTTGATAATGAAAACCACTAATGAACCTAAATGTGTACATCCAACGCGTTTGCAATATCTTAACTTGCAATATGGCTTATATTTTTTTATCCATATTAAAATAAAATTAATAAAAATTTTAAAAGGAGGAGTCCAATCAAAAAATTATTTTATATTATTCTCTATATGCATAAAATCAAATATTCAAAACTTTATTTACAGTCTCATCCAAATCGACAAATTAAATTTATTAATGTGTGCACTTATTTTTTTCATTTGAGATTATACAAAGATGTTAGCATAATATAATGTTTAAAAAGTTCCAGATCAAATGCTACGACTAGCTTATATTGCTTTAGAATAATAATAATTGTATGTTTATTGTACGGGCATGCCTAATAATGGTATGATGTGGCACTTCGTGTCACATCAGATTATTACTAAGCATAACGCCCATATCTGATATAAAAAATGAAACGCAGATAAACCATTGTGATATTTTAAGATGATAATAATTCACATTATTTATCATTATTATTTACTCATGTATGAAATCTCATTTTTGGATTGTTAAATATTTAAAAAATTTTTTCATTTATAAATTAAAATATGTTTGACCGCAGCTTTCGATAGGAAAATCCTACTGTATAATAGTAATTTTTATGATATATGACGTATATATATCATCAACCGTAAAATTCCGATAATTTAATAAAAATTTTTGTTAAATATTTTATGAATAATGTCTATTCCATAACGCTTACGCAGCAGTTCCGCAAATTATACTAATTTACCTTAATCTATTGAGCCTATTCTTGGAAAGTAAACTAATTCATAGTTTTTTTTTTGGATAGTAGGACATACAGTATATACTGGTAATTAAATATGCCCTACTATATTATTTCGATAATGCATGTAATAAAGTTGTTCCACAACTTAGGAAAGAAAAAAAATGTGGGGATCAATTTCCCCACTCTAGTTTATATTTTGTTTGTGTACATGGATCTTCAGGTACATACATTTTTAGAATTTTTGATTTCGAATATATATATGTGTAAAACTCATTTTTCTAATTAAAAAAAAAACATTATAAATTTTTTTTTATTATTTTAAATAATATAATTTATGTCAATTATAAAATTTTAATAAGTAAAAATGCAAAAGATAAAAAAAAAAAAAAAAGTATAAAAAAAATTTATAAACCCTCCATCCAGATTAAAGAGTAAAAAATTAACTCACTTTTAAAATTTAAAATTTCTTAATTATATTTTCCTAATCATCAAATTCCACATCTCAGTAAACGGAACTGCTTCTTATGATGTGCAAGACATGGGAAATACGGGATTCCAGAATTCTTTTTAAGACTAAAGGAACTCTTAAAGTGAACGAATTTTTTTTCCTTAAAACTCGGCAATAAAATTTCTAATATTAGGTAAAGCAAAATACTCAATTTTATTAAATTATCTTGAATTCTACATTAATATTAGTATAAATTTTTTTTAACATAACTGAGGAAAATATAAGAAATTTGACAAAGAATTCTTTTACGACTTTTAATTTTCTTTTTCAAGGTTCATTTACTTCATTATTATTAATTGATTAAAAATATTACCGGACAAATTGAAGATATCGATAATCAAAATTCCGACAAAGCTTATAATAAAGGGGGTATTGGAAGTTCTTCCAACAATACCAATACCGATCATTAATAATGATTGTATAACATGCAAATAATAATTATTATTATTTATTTCATTTTATTTTCTTTTTTTTTTTCGTATAAATTAAAATTTTTTTTTTTTCTAAAAAATACACAATTTAAGTAGTTCAGTATAGTATACTGCGGATCAAATAAGCATTCGTTGTTCCTGCATATAATATAATAAGTAAGGTATTATTAATTATGTACAGGTACGATGGGTACGTGTGCATGATGGTCCTATAGGGCCGTATAATAATACAAAATAAAATTTATTATTGAGTTCTGAATCTAGTTTAATCATAATTCTAACTACTAGCTTAATTTCGGCCGATATTATAATTTTGCCAGAATTAAAAATATCCAGGCGGGTCATGCGGATCACTGGCTAAAGCTAGGAACACTAATCGACACATGATCGGATCAATTTTGATAACCACAACAATGTTTAGCAAACAAAAAAAGAAAGTGCATAGGCAGAAGATAGTCCTACGCTTCGCTCCGGACGATAACAGGTTTTAATCTTACAAAATTTAATTATTAATTGGATTACCAATATTAACTATAACAGTGTATTTAGATAGAGGCTCAATTAAATAACATAAATATTAATATCTTTGGTAATATTTTCATCTATCGGCGTGGTTATTTATTTTGCGGTAGTTTTTTCAAGATTGATTTCGAAAGTCGAACTTCATATGACGATTTTAATTTTTTAAATTGGTAATAGGATTTTTTTTTTGCTGGAAAGTAAAAATTCTATTTGAAAATTTACAAGGTAATTATTTCCATGTATTACAAGCATTTTAGAGGTGGTTAATAATTCAAAGCATTGTATTAATAATAAAGAATATCGTGAAGTCAACAAAGATGAAATTCTTTATACGCCTTCATATTTAGAAATACATAAGTATTACTGCGAATTAATATCTAGCGCTACCCACCCCATTATGTGGGGCGTGGGATGACATGTTACATATATTCGGAATATTCATTGCAGCCGTTTGAAATTATCCTAATCATTTATCCTTCATCACTATTTGGTACCAAACTACCAAATAATACCAAATAAATGTTTATTTGTATTTAAGGATTAGGAAGCTTATTTTAGAAAAAAAATTTTCGATTTTTTTTTATGAAATGAATCATGTAAGTGATATATTTTTTTTTATATAAAATAAAATTTCATCATAGTACGATCACTTACAGTAAAAAATCATTTTTATAAAGTAAGTGGCGATATACTCTTTACTAGTTAGATTTGGTCTATATTATCACTATTCACTAACGGGAAAAAAGAAAAAATTAGGAACTGTTTTTTACTCTACGACAAATAATGAGCCCAATACTAACCCAGACCGATATTTCTATTAAGCATAACAATAATGATTATACATAGTAAATTTATGTAATAAGGTGGAGTAAACGAAAATAGTGTAAATGAAAATTTTATAGGAAAAATTTAAATAAAACTATAAAGTCAATTAAAATAGAATAAATAAAATTTAAAGTTAAATTAAAGCTTATTTATGATGTTATAATTAATGCATCACTTTTTTATTGGATGTATATCAGTCACAGGGCCCTTCATTGATTGGTGTAAAATGGGGTCCCAAATATTCGGTCCTGTGACTGACAGCTATTCTCCAACCAATAATATACTGTATATTTAATAAATATATGCAGAAGCCAATTAATTATAATATTACTTGATATAGAAATTAAAATAGAAACTATTATTTTAACCATTATCTTATTGTTAAGGATAAGTGAAAGTTAATTCAATTGTTATACTATTTGTTTTTTTTATTTATAAATTCAAATAATCATGAAGCTTATGTAATCACAAGACTATAGTTTCAAGGAATTTTTTTTTTTAACTTTTCAATCAGCATTTAAGTCATCTACTTTTGAATTTTTCAAATACAATTTAACACGATAATACACTGCATATTTATTTAGGTTTAAGATCATTCTTGTTTATCACAATTCACAAACATCGAAAGAATTCGTAACAATTTATTTCTTATTGGATCATCTTTTTTACACAGCGTATTTTCAAGCCAAAAAATTAATTTAATTATTTGGGTAACGTTTAAAATTATTGAATTTGTTATTATTACATTATGATTTATGCAATACATGTAGAAATTATGCATAGTGTATGTGGGTGTGCATTAATTATAATACTGTGAAAAATAAATACTTGAATATGATTATGATCCCGCCGTTCTATGTAACCACGTTTTTAATACTAAGTGTAACGCTAAAAATTTAAATACCGTTAAAAAGTGAATAAATATTTTTTTCTTTAAATATTATTCATTTCTACTATTAAATAAATTACGATCATGTCAAGAAATTCTTCAGTTTACTTCATATTATGGATACTAATACAAGTATTAGTTAAAGTAAATTGCCAAATGACACCCTTTAAACCAAGTGTATATAGTCATCATACTGCCACACTCATTGATAATAAATTGTATATTTTGGGTGGATATAATTTAAAAACTAACCGAGTAAAAGAATTTTTTTATCTTGATGTTTCTGTACCATTTAATACTCAAGAATTATCATGGCAAGATTTATCAAATATTAATATGGTTCCACTTCATTCTTCTGCAACGTCAGTTAAAGGTGGTCCAAATAATGATACTCTATTTTTATACGGGGGAGATTCGTATGATCAAACAATGGCATTAGTTTATACATTTGATTCACGTAGTATCGTATGGAGTATTCCAAAAATAACTGGATTTAATCCAGCCAGAAGATCGGGTCTAACAGGCATTATTAATAACGACGGAAGGATGTATTTATGGAGTGGAGGTAACGATACTGTTTATGTAACAAATGAAATGCTTATTTTAGATACAATAAATCTTAGTTGGAGTAAAGGAAGTATAATTAATGCACCGATTCCGAGAAATCGTTATAGTGCCACTTTATTGCCCAACAATAAGATTATTTATATGGGTAAGAGAGTAATTTTATATTTAAATATGTTTTGTTATTTTATTAATGAACGCTTATTTTTAGGCGGTAATAATGATTATACTCTTACTTATTTTCATAATACTTTGAATATTGCTAGTGGAACTGCTTTAACATTAAGTGAGGTATATTTTGTAAATATAAAATTTTTTTTTTTTTAAAAAAATGAATCTAATTAATTATAATAAATTATTTGTAGATTTATATATATGATATGATTAATGACAATTGGGATACAAAAGTAAGTTATGCAAATTATTATGATGAAAATTTTTATATTCAGTTGTGAATTAATTTCAATTCTTAAATTTAGGTAACATCATAACATCAGGGAAAATTCCTTCTAATAGAGGTGGTTTTTCCACTGTTCTTGGTATGTAATCAAATAAGAACGCTATGATTATTATTAAAAGATTAATATTATTAATGGTAAATTTTCATTATATTTTTCAACAGGGTTAGATGGTAAAAGAGTCATAATTTTTGGAGGATATTTTATAAATCCTGGATATTTAGATACTACACTTTACGTATTAGATTTAGCTAATTATAATTGGTACATTCCAAAAATTTCTGGAAAAATCCCAAAGCCTAGAGCTCTTCATAAAGCAAATGTAATTGGAAAATATATGGTTGTATCATTCGGTAAATATAATATTTCTTAAATTATTACTTAAGAAGATTAACTAGTTTTAACAAAAACAATTTGATTTAATAGGAGTTGGTTATGATAAAACAGTTGAAAGTGATATATTATTGCTTGATATTAGTAATAATGAAGAATATATATGGACAACAATATTTGATCCAAAAATGCCATCGCCATCGCCATCACCACCGCCACCGCCACCACCACCACCACCACCACCACCACCACCACCATTACCACCATCTTCGTCTTCACCTTCGCCTTCACTTTCTTCAAACAATTTAGCTGGTATAATTGTGGGATCTTTATTAAGTGGTATTTTATTATTAGTTGGAAGTTTCTTGATATATAAATGGAATAAGAATAAACAAAAAACTATTTATGAAAATGATAATAATAATGATTACAGCCAAGAAGAAAAAGAGCTTCCTATCGTTAGGGATATTCAAAATTGTGAACAAGATATCAATAATAATGAGCAAATTGATCAAATACCTAGAAATGAAAGTACGTCCAATGAACCAATAATAATTCCACCTCCAATAATTAATAAGAATAACTATCATAAGCAAGAAATTATTTTAACACCCGAAAATGAAAATACAACCAACCATGAACCAATAATAATTCCAGTCAATGATCATTATGGGCAAGAAATTATGCAAACGCTCCAAAATGAAACTAGTGATCACGAACCAACAATTCCAGCCCCTGCAGTAGTTAATACTAATAATTATAATTATGGGCAAGAAGTAATTTCAACACCTAATAATAATAGGATATCATCACAAATTTTTAAAGAAGACATTCTTCAAGCTGTTAAAGATGAAATTGGCCAAAATTTGAAAAATGGACTCCTTCAAGCTGTTAAAAATGAAATTGGCCAAAATTTGAAAAATGAACTCCTTCAAGCTGTTAAAAATGAAATTGTCCAAAATTTGAAAAATGAACTTCTTCAAGCTGTTAGAGAGGATAATCTTAACATCACAAGAAACAATACAAAACAAGATTAAATTAATAGTCAATTATTAACTTATGATAAAAATGAAAAAAAAGTTCTAAATATATAAGGTCTTCGATTATTATGTAGGTAACATCACAGTACTTTATGGTTTATTTCGCCTCTACCATTCACTCCATTCTTTTTATTATAACTTAGCTAGGCTGCTTCCTAATTTTAACGTCATATACGTTATATACTATGTTTCTAATAAGTTTTAATTATTTTCCACCATTATTTGGTGTCAAATGAAACTAACAAATAATACCAAATTTAATACAGAATATGAAATGAAATTTTTTTCATGAAAATGAATATGAAAGTGGTTCTATAACTATTTAATTTGTAGAGAAATATCTTATTGGCAAAATTACTATGGCGAAGCAATAGATGACTTGCAAAAATCATTAATTATAAATCCGAAATAAATAATATATACTGTATAAATACTTGGAAATAGTTACTTACCTGCTGGTTAATAAAATTGATTTTTCGAATTTAGAAAAATGGCTATAATAATCTGAATCCCACTCTAAATCTAACTACTAACAATGAGTCGCACTTTATAAAAATGATTTTACTACAGTGATGAGTGATCGTACCATGATGAAATTTTATTTTATGCAAAAAATAAATTATGTCTATTTACAGTCGTTCAATCATTACATCAAACAGGTTTTTATTCTTTTTTTCTATAATTGTACTCCTGAACTTGAAATTTGAAAACTGGCAAGTTAAAGAGTCGGTTTATATTTTTTTTTTGTTGTAGGAACATCACTAACATACTAACATTTCTTTTCTCTTTTTTTTCTTTAGGTAAAACTCAAGTCAGCTTAAGTCCATAACAAGAAATAAAAAGGAAATATAAGTAAGATAAGGAAAAACCATAACAAGCTACTATTGCTAATTATATGTTTTAATTAAACAACAATATATATTCAAGAACAACTTAACGTAAATTGACACCATTATAATGTTACTGAAAAAATGATTGCTTCAATTGCTATTTAACCTAATGAATAAATTTTAGGTTACAAATGGTTACAAATAAAAATCAATAAAACTATAAATTCAAGTTTGTTTACCAAATAATTTAAATTTCATTTCATTTTCTTAGCATATGAGTAAAATTTCCGTTATCGTACATTACATTATTGACAATTTTTTTCATGTTTGGTAATTCTTCATTTCCTCTTTTAATTTATTTATTGTAATAAGAAGAGGATGTAAAATAATAATAAAAATGATAAATTTTTTTTCTATAAAATTCATCATTAAAAATTATTGTAATACAATTGTGTTCATAAGATAAGGTTATGCATATATAAGTATGTCAAAAAAATGGAATATTTTTTATCCCAAACATTTAGTGATAAAAAAAAGTATGAGATAGAAATAAACAACATTGATTACGTTAATTAATTGTGATAATAGAAAAAGCAATAATACTGTGTATATATATATTAATGTTTGTTTATGTAAAAAAGGAATTAATTAATTTTTAGTTAAAGACCAAACCAATTTTGATAACAATTTCGAATTAAAAATAATGAAGTATCCTAATTTTTTCCCATGCATATAATAATTATTTTAAAAAAAAAAAAAAAAAAATTGACAATAAATAATAAATTTGTTAACCTCAACTTGTGTAACTTGTGTATAACAAATTTTTATCAATAACATAATTTATTCTTAATAAAAATATGTATAACAAAAAATTAATTTTTTAATTATTTTATGAATTGTACCATTTTCTAAAATATATAAAATATATAAACTTCCAAAGTCACAAACAAAAATATTTTGACATGATTAAATAATCACATTTTATGAAATTTTTGAAAAAAAAATTAAATTTAAAATATTTTCCGAATTAGAAAATAAGTAAAACATGTTATATATAACTATATATGAAAAATAATTGTACTGATCGTTATGATCGTTATTACAGTATTTATAACTCCCGGCGGCCGATCATTAAAAGGTGACGTATTACAGCTGATTTCATAATGTGCGGGACACTTAACAAATTTTAAAGAACTCGGAAGTATTCGGTAAAGCTTGATATGGTGGTATAATTTTATCTTATTTTGAACTTTTACCGAATATTTCCGAGTTCTTTAAATATTGCCAAGTGTCCCGTACATTATGAAATCAGCTGTAACAAAAATTATGCGTATATCAAAATTATGAACAATAATAAAATTTTATTGATAAAATCATTATATAATATAATACTTTCTTCATACATATGATCATTTAAAATATTTAAAATATCGCTCAATTCAAGCCCCCACCCTTGTTGGACAACTGTATCGAATAATTTATAAAAACTATAAATACCGTAAGAAAATTAATAGAAAATATAGAAAATTGAATTTCGTGATTTGCACGGTTGATAATATTTATAAATAAATATTAATAGTAGTAAAAATTCGGAATTTTATAAATGTGAATTATTAATAGTTTTAATAGTATTTTTTTTTTTTAAAAAAAAAAAAAAATTAGAAGTTTGAACAAAATGATCGCCATGTTCATACACTTTGTGTAACAAATATAAATTAGGATGATAAAAAAATAGATAAAACCGCGTTATTTTCATTATGAATCACATTAAAACAAGGGAAAAAAAGTAATCAACGTCATATAATCATTAATCAATGAACTTATTTTTATAATATAAAAAAACACTAATCCATAAATATCATGAACCTAAAAATAAAGTTATAAATTTAAATTCATTGAACATAAAGAATATATTTATAGACCTAAATAAATCGACTCCTTTATTAACCAAAAATATTAAACCGTTTTCTCTTTTTGCCATATTACCAAATCTATTATAATCCTTCTATTTTTCTTTTTGTCTTAATATCACGTCCATTTTTAATTCAAAAAGAACCCTTTTAACTATTGTAGTTTGAACCCTACCCTAAAATCGCATTCCCTAAAAAACCTTTCACAAAATTTTTGTAACATATAACAAGTAAAAATAAAATAAAATTCTTATTATAATGTTCTTTTTAAAAAAAAGGAGGTTTTTTTTCATATTTTAAGTTTTAAGAATTATAAAATGTTACAGTATGTCAATTATGTCGAATATGCCAGTATGTCATAACTTCATAATCATGATTGTTAAACACAGTCTCAACAAATTTATCGTCTAATCTAACTTAGGAAATCGCGATTTTCATTGTCCGTGTGTGTTCGTTTAAAACACAAAGAAATTTTGATTTACCATTGTTCATATTGACAACATTCATGTGTTATATGTTTCAGAATAATTATAAATCTTTTTTAAAATAATATGATAAATTTTAGTTTACAATTATTTTTTTTTTTTTATAGATTATAAAGTAAAATGTACAACGTTGATTGAAACATATGATAGGTACGGTTAATCTTGCGCGAGATGAAATAATGATAACATTGATATATTATTATTAATATTATTTAGTGCATTGTGCATCATGAGATTTTTTGTTTTTTTAAAAAAAAGATTTATAAGATTACGATAGCATATCATATGGTTTGGTTCCCTTGAAATTATGATGAGAAAAAAAACGATAATCTTTTTTAAGATGATCGCGAGAAATAAATATTTATTTATTTTATATTATTTTTTAAAGAATTAGGCGAATATATATAAGTACTTTAAACTTAAAGCGCGAGAATAAATAAAAAAAAAAATTTTTTTTTTATTTTTTTTTTTTTTTTTTTTTTAAAAAAAAAAGAGAAAAAATTCAAGCTGCGGTTTGATTTGAGATCGACATTAGAAACTAAAACCTACTAAACCTAATTAGTTATTAGTACTACGTAAATCAATAAATAACTCCGATAACTTATTATTTTGATGAAAATGTTTTTAAACTAGGATCAAAAGTTATTTTCAACCTTGTTTTAATATAAAGATTTACTTATAACATAAATTGTAATTTTATACATTCAAATTTAACTTTTATTATGTGTTTTGAAACTATTGAAGTTGAGGTATAGTACTTCATTTCAAATTATTAATACAATTTCTTAGTATCATTTGGATTTTGTAAGCTTTTGGTTAAAAATAAATTTATTTATCTTTTTATGCATAATTTTTATAAAAAAAAAATCGAGAAAATAAATAGCATAATCGAAAAATAAATGAAACGTAATAATAAAAAAATAAATAAATAAATAAAATGAGATGAAATGAAAATAAATGAATGAATAAAACAAATAAACTTTATACAAGAAAATTGAATTAGACTTTCATTGCAAAGCTAAATTTCTTATATTACCCTCAGTTTATAAAATAATATTGATAAGGACCGTTAGTTATGTTAAAAAGTTTATAGTAATGTTAGATTTATGCTAATTTAATAACTTAAAATTAAATATTTTGGCTTAATTGTATAAAAAATAAAAAATGAGTTATAATTCGAACCTTAAGGTAAAATAAATTTATTTTACTAGAAAAAATGTATTAATAGAGTCCTTAGCTCTTAGGAAGAATTCTGGAATCCATCTTGCATACTGTAAGAAACAGTTCCGTTTACTAAATTTGAGGCCGTATTACTATAGGTGTCATTATTTGGATACACTTGGGAAGTAGATTGAGTAGTATCAAGAGATTGTTGTTGAATATCATTTTGCTGATAAACAGGATGCTGGAGTTGTTGTTGCTGAATCTGTTGTTGAATTAGAGATTGTAAATTATAATGATGCGGCAAAAGGTAACCAGGGATATGATTGATTCCATTATTCAAGAGTTGAACATTTTCTGATAGATTTAATTCAGAATAAGTAACACGATAGATACGAGTATCATTTGGTAAATGAAAATAAAACTCATATGTAGTATTATAAGGCGCAGGAGTTGTAGAATTAATATGCAAGGTATTTAAATCAGAAATTCCAACATTATTAGTAATTAAAGTATGTTGAATATTTTCATTTTTATTATTAAAAATTTGTTGAGGAGCGGAGCTATTTCCAGTTTGATCATCCATTGATAAATTATAATAATCTTGTGTATTTTGATTAATTGAATTAATGCTGTTCAGAATCCAGATGATAATAAGTAAAAAATGAATAATAATTAATATAGGGTTGTAAAATTGTAAATTTTCTAAAGTAAAACTCGATAGGTCGTATTCCAATTCACAGGGAACATTATTTAGTGTAAATTTTGCATTAAATTTAGAAAGCTTGCCGGATTGCTTCTTTTAATTATTTACTTAGTATAACGCAATAATTTGTTTCTTTACAATTATAACAGAGTTTTGGGATTTCTCCTAATCTTTTGTTATTATTTTTTATTTTTTGAATGTATGGATGCGTTCTATTATATGTAAAATTTTTCAGTAAATTCCTATCATTTTATAGGAAAAATAATACTATAAAATAAACGCGTTTTATATTGTGCAATGTTTTTTTTTTGGTTCCATTGAAATGTCAGGCGATTTGATGTACTCATTATAAAATTTGATATAATTTAAACAGATATATTGATTTCATATATATATAAATATGTATATACAGTTAAAAAAAATGTTTTATTTAAAATCTAATATCTTATTAAGCGCATAAATATTATTTACAATTTTTTTTTTTTAATTTAATTCTTACTCGATAGGTTTTTATTGAACGTCACATGTTTAATCCAAATAAGTAATAATATGTGCAACTACCAGATTACATATTATACATTTTACTTAACGGCCAAAAAAGGGTTATTATGATTACTAATTTATAAAATTCAAATTTTATAACTCACTTGGTTCTAAGTATTTATGTATTTATAAATTTAATTTAATAAAGTCTTTATCGTTTATCTCGTAAAAAAAAAATCCAAGTAACTGAAAAAGTTTCATTATGTTTTATCCATGGAAATGTTATAGCTACCGTACGTCATGATGGTAAATAGATTTTAATATAACAATGTTCTTTTACTATTATTATAATTAATTGTCCTACGATAAACAATTCATTTATTGTTAAAAAGAAAATTATCATTATTTCCATTCTAAGTACCTAAGTTGGATGTTGTATTTTTATATTATTATAATATACGATTAAAAGAAACTGAGACAAAGACAAACATGAAGGCGTCTCGGAGTCATTATTCATTATTCAGATTATTTTATACTTCACTTGTTTGTAATAAAAGAAAATCGTTATGCTGTACATATCATATGGGCGGATTTGTTTCAGCTATATTTTCATTTTTGTGTAATATAAATTGACTAGTTACACTAATTACACGGAGACCTCACAATCCTCACATCAAGTGATATGCAAATCAATTTCACGTCAAAATAAAAATACAGTAATTTCGTTTAAGGGTAACGACCAATTTATCTACAGGGTGTTTATTATACAAGTAGTAATTTCAGTATTTAGGCCGGGCAAAAAAAAAATTTAGATTCTCGTGACCCGGCCGGGTCAGTTTTTCGAAAAATGGGAATTTTTTTAAATTTTTATCACGTGATTTTAAGTTATTGGCCAATGTGGCGTAAAAAAATTTTACATATAAAAAAATTTTACAAATATAAAAAAAAATGCCGGCCGGCCGGGTCATTTTTAAAATTTTATGTCACGAGAATCTAAAATTTTTTTTTGCCCGGCCTTAGCTTTGGTCATTTTTTCATTGGTTATTATTATTATTTTTTATTATTTAATTACCGTATTTTGCGGTAAGTAAGCACCCCCCGAAAGTAAGCACCCCTGGCCAGAATTATGGCGATTTTGGCCAAAATTATGAGGATCTTGGCCGGCATCAAGTGCAAAAATGGGGTGCTTATATACCGCAAAATACGGTATTTTTTTTAATAATTTCTTAATTTATATTCTGCTCAAGATCAAGCCAGGTTTTACTGCTCCATATGTACAGTAAAAAGTGTGCTAAAAAAGGGTTTAAAAGTCATTCTGGCTTGCAGAGGCATGAAACGCAAAATATAATACACTTCCGCCATACTTTCAGATTCAGAACCACAACACCTTAAAAAAGCTCTTGCGCCTCATAATACTACACCAAACGATACTCGCAATTATAGTGTTACTTATTCCGAATTAAATCCATCAGAAAATATTCGCATTCTTGATTATCAGTTGCCGCATCATTATAATTTAATTCAACAACAGATTCAGCAACAACAAGTCCGGCATCCTGTTTATCAACAAAATGATATTTAACAATTATTCGATACTACTCAGATCTACTTACCAAATATACTCAAATAATGTCACCTATCATACAGTTTCAATCTCAATAAACGGAATTGTCCCTTATGATATGGGAAATACAGGATTCTATTCTCCTTAAGGACTAAGAGACTAATTAATATTAAATCTAATTTTTTTTGGTAAAATAAAATGAAGTAATTTTTTTTTTTTACTTATTTATTTTACTTTTTAAAATTCGACAATAGAAGTTCCCATTATGAATGATAACTAATTTTTAATTTTTTTTTTTTTTTTTACGTAATCGTTGATTTGTTAAATTATTTGCACTTTTCAAAATTGTGCTACCCCCTATAGATCATATAATAAAAAAATTATTAGATTACAGGACGATTACCGTGACAAATCGGACAATGCTGTCCTGTAATCGTCCTGTAATCGTCCTGCAATCATAATCACTCAATAATCACAACGTACACAGAATTCTGAAAACTGCGATAAATTAATAATTCGACCCGAATTATATCACTTTCGGGGTAGGGATTGGAATCGACTATCGAATCTTTGTAGATTCGATTTTTTGTTCCTTAAAAGATAATCCATTTTAAGCTTTAATAATTATTCCATGATCAGTAAATATATAAATTCTGAATTAAAATTGTAAAATCTATTAAGAAATTATATATCGTTACTAACACCCATCGTTGCCGATCATTTGCCGATCATTTGCCGATCATTTTGTCATTTTTGAATTTTTATCGATCAATTTTCTTTTTTGAAAATATTTTAAATCATGCATTTAATCTTTGAATGCAATGTTGAATTAATTAATTTCAATTTTCTCTTCAAATGAGATTCGATTTTGATTCGATTATCGATTCTAATCCCTATTTCGGGGTCCTATAACAACCTAGTGATATATTCTTTAAGTTTTATAAGATGTATTTCTCAATTTATTTATGCAATAGAATTTGGGAGACATGATATCACACAAAAAAGAAATGATTGCCCAGGCTTAAAAACCGACTAATTATAATTTTATGATTAAGGTTATAAATACTGTGTTTAATCCTGAAAAAAACATGGAATATAAACACTAACATAGGAATTTGATGCTTGTATAACGATAATAATAATAATTATATTAATCCCTACACAGTTTAACGTGAAAATTTAGATAATTATAGTTGCCGTAGCACCAGGATAAAGATTTTCTATCTTTTTTTTTTCACAATTTCAAAATTCTTTTAAATTTTGGCTGTGGATGTCACGGGCAATGCAGGAACGTCACAGTCGTCACACCTACTTTACGATCGATTGCATAGTAAAAACGTAGAATTCCAAAATTTTATGATATATCACTTTTTTTTTAAAAAGAAAAAAAAATATCAACCCCCAAAAAAAATAAATAAATAATTTATCTGAATTTAGTCTTATTGCCCATTTTTCTTTGATAAGTTGCTTAATTTAGATTGGTCTTTTTTTTCTTTATTTTTTTATCAAAACAGATGACCAATTTTGAATCGTCAACATGCATCGGAGTTTCCAGTAATGCAGCTTTTTTAAAAAAACTTTATTAATTTAATGTCATTTGGAACCTTCTGGAATCAAGTAAAATGAATTATCAATAAAATTATGAAAGTTTCTTTGAAGTCTTTTGTGTCGAGTAATTCATTGTAAAATTTTATAAAAATCATACGATACATTATACATTTATTTATTTACTTGTTTCACTTTCACATATGTTTACGCCATTTGAAATTATTTATTTAATTGTTATATATATTGATTTAAAAATTTAAAATAAACAACTTATTTTTATAATAAAGAAACAAAAATAGTTATTTTTAATCCATTCCTTTTACAAATTAACGCCTTTGATAATCCTATTGTTCTTTGCATTCTTTGTGTAATTCCTTTTAAAGGTCTGGAACAAATCTATAGAACGTCTTTACCATTCTTCGTTTTGAAACAAAAAAGGAAATCTGACGTTATCTGACTTTGGCCAAAGTTATGAAAATTATGCAAATTTACTCTATGGGTGATTGATCATCTTAAACTCTTTATACAGTACATTAGCCATTCGCATTTACAGATCAAATTTCTATAATCAGAATCATATGAACACATTTTTTTTCTCTAATGGTGATATGATTTATTTATTTTGGTTTAATGTATACTTATAATATCAGACAATATAATAGTGATAACAGAAAATATATACGCAAAAAGATAGTGCAATTAAGAGTGCAATGAAGAATAATGGTAATTACTATATATTATAAAATTTTGCATTTTCTATTTTTAAAGAAAGGTATTAGGTGTATAGGTGATTTTTCTATGTGACACACGTTATTTACTTTTGTTGTAAAATTATGGGCAAAAAAAAAAAAATTGTAGAGCGTCTTTAAAAAAAATATAACATACTTTTTATAGTAATGCAATAACGTGCAAAGTACTAAATTCTTTGAAAAAAAACGAAATCAAAATTAAAGTATACAAGATTTTAATAAACCTCTTAAACTTCTTATCAAAAGTTAGTAGTATAAATAAGTATAATGCTACGAATCTACGATGTTTACTGCGCATATATTGCAATTCAGCAATTGAATAAAAGGGTCTTGAGTCTTTAATATCGCCATACCCTGCATTAGAAATTATATTATTAAAGATTTGGGTTCATCCCATAAACATCGATTACCTGCTTGATTATATTTTTTTTCTCTTAAGCCTCAAGAGATACAATTCTTCTGCGCGCATTCTTAAAATACATCACATAAATTGTAATTTTTTTTTTACATTGAACTATTCAAATTTTTATTACTATAACTACACAGGCTATAGTTTTTTTTTATAACATTTTATTGAACTTCGCTCGAATTGTACGGAAAAATTAAGAAAAAAAATAAAAACAAAAAATATATATAATGAAAATAAACTCTAAACAAGCAAATTGAAATCGAGTCTTTTACATTTGGATAGAATTATTTTAAAATTTATAGCAATGTAAGATTCAAGTTAATTTAATTGTAGAATATTGAGGCGCAGAAGTTGCAGTATTAAGTTAGGTTCATATTCGATATTCTTGAAATTGTTGAATGTTATCGTCGCTATTATCAAGAATTTGTAGAGGTGAGATCGTGAGAAGCTATTTCCAATTTGATCTATTGGCATACTAAGAATAGTCCTGTGTAATTTATTAATTATCGAATATACAGTATGATATAATTAATTAATTATCAAATACAGTGTGGGACAAAAAAAATGCGAATTTTATTTTTGATCATTAACATTAAATTATAATTAAAAAAACGTGAATTTACTGTATTTTAAAGCTTAAGATAGCTGATTTTATTAAAAAAAAAATTTAATATTATACACTGTAATACACATTCGCCATTATTACAACATCGTCTAATTAACTTTAAAATATCGATTAGAACGATTTTTAGAGTATTTTGGCATTTCTCTATCATAAGTTCTTCCAAATAATTAAAATTTTTTTTGGTATTCGCTTCTCCGCCTTACTTTTTGTGATATCCTATAAATTTCAATAGGGTTTGGGTCGGGGCTATCTCATGGCCACCCTGAAACTTCTAATGAACTTTCTTTTACACTGAGCTTAGAAAAATGACTATTATGCATGGTAGTTTTCTTGTTGGAATACCAATGAACGATCACAAAGCATCCAGGAGATCTCAGAAGCACGTGTACAAAAAATTTCTGCATAAATCTCGATGTTCATAATTTGTCTGAAACAAAATAAACTTGCTTTTCCCTTCACAAACAACCGCTCCACGCCATAATTTCTTATATAATCTTCAGACGTACAACAAACTGGTCTTTCCTCTTTATACTAATATTTAACAGTGTTACTCAAGAGTTGCAAGGCTGATTTAAAATTTTCCCATTGATCATAATATTATTTTGTGCCTACTCTACATGTCTTTGCTTTTTTGCTTCGATTAACATAGATAGGAGTTGCTTTGGGAAGTCTTTTTTACATAACCAACACTTAAAAGATGACTTCTAATTGTCCTATATTATACTTTTCACCTGCATTTTTCAATTTTCTTGCTAAAGTTCTTGTAGAAAAGGATGTATCATGCCTTACATATTGACTGAGTGTGTGGAATGCACTTGCGGTAATTTTTTTTTAGGTCTTCCATTCCCTCTAGAATACCCAAAAAACTAGTTTTTTTTCGATTTTTTTTATAAATTGTTGATTACATGGGGGTTGTGTAATTCTTTAATATTATTATATATACCATTATTTCATAAGTCTAATGAGAATTTATTATAGGTTTTTCTTTTTGCGCAAGTCACTGTTTTGGAATTTCTCACGAAAATAAAGGGCGTTAATGGACGCAAAGACAGTCAAACATAGTCTTACAAATTTAGTTTATTTTTGGCGATGTAGATCATTTTTGTCACGTGAACACTTTTCTCTTTTTTTGTCCCACACTGTATCTAAATATAATTTAATCGATAAAATTATACCCGGTTAAATCGATAAACCAAATCTATGTTTGATTAACTAGATCTTCTATATTATTATATATAGTCAAAAGTATAATCAAATATAGTCAAATGGAATTTTTACTATGTATTTAGTAGAAAATTATTTGCATCAATTATATAAGCAGTATAATTAATTTGACTTTTTTTATATAAACAGTATTAGCTATATAAATAAGAATTACAATTCAGTCAATTCAGTTATTTGATTAGATACATCACCATATCTAATATTAGTTATTTCATGTTCATTGATCCGTGATTATCAATGATATCAACAATTTTTAGATTATATTTGCTTACGGCGTAACTCATATAACTATAATTATGTAAACAAAAATAAGCGCGTAATATATATACATCGACTTTTGACATTCGAGTTTAAACATTTTTTTTTTTTTGACGTTCTTAATAATTTTTAACTTGGAGTTAAAAATATTTTTTTTGACATTCTTAATAATTTTTAACTTGGAGTTAAAATATTTTTTTGACATCCTTAATAACTTTTAAATTGGAGTTAAAAATGAGTTGTAGCGTAGAGAGTAAGTGTGATATATAATTTATGTGAAAATATAATGTAATCTTTGCGAACTCATTTTCACATCATTCCAGGAGAAAATGTTTATACTGAATATTTTAAGCTCATCCCATATGGGATTTGGTCACTCGATGGTTTTGTGACATATGCTTTTTGCAAAGACATTTATGTTGATAAAACTATAGCCCATCAAGAGTTTTATGGGGAGTTGCATTGCATTGGAAATTGTGTGGTTTTGCAAGAAGCTAAACGGGCTAGAGAACTTTTACAGCAAAAAAAGGTTAGTAGATGTTCTTATGTGAAGTGGGATCAATCTCAATCTCTCCCACGCTATTATTGACCTGGGACCCGATAAAGCAAGTAGGTTAGTTTGTTTCACCAGTTTATTTATTTATACAGTATCTCTCAGTATTTGTCTAGTCTGTACAGTCAAAATGGTGGTTTTCTGTTAGCTTCTTCTTGCGCCTTCGTTATGTATTCTTTATATATATAAAGAAGCTAACTGCCATTTGATTTTTCACTTTTAATTTGATTCTACTTTCTGGAAAATACTTTTTTACACCTAATATTTTTTTTTTTTAAAAGTTCGATATAAAAAATCAGATCGACATTGGACACCGATGAAAAAAAAAAGAAACGAATATCCCGAACAAAATATCCCTGAACTGAATTACAAAAGACAAAGAATCGATTATTATTTTGAGGTTAGTATACTTGAATTTGAAATTTCTCCTTGATAATATAACTAATAATATAAATTTTATAGTCAACAATTATGATCAGAATACCGGATTATGATTCCATATATAATACATATTTAATGAACAGTCAAAATTGATGTAAGTGCTTTTAAACTTTGTTTTTTATGAGATTTATTGAATAAACTAAAATCATTTACAATCAATGTTTTTAGATGGAAAGGACCTTTGGATTCGACCATGTCCAAAAAAAAATATATATACAACCTTGGTGGTCTAGGGATAATCCAGCAAAATATTAAATTTTCATTTTTTTTTCTGGAACCCCATCTTAAAAGAATAATAGCTCCGACGCTCTGTTCAATAACATTATATTTCCTTTTTCAATAAAGAAATTATCTCATATAATAATAATAATAATAATAGTAATAACAGTAATAATAATAATAGTAATAATAACAATAGTATTGTTAGAGATTTCACGAAATTGGTTACATCCGTTACGTAAAAATTTATTATTATTTTTTTTTTAAAAAAAAGGGGTCGTTGTTTTCTAGAATTAGATTGACGAAATTATACAACTTAAATTAACATGTCTGATAAAACTAAACTTAACTCATGGACTAGAGTGGTTATTTGACAATAAATATTAAGCTTTATGAATATGAGGATTTTAATAATATTCAAGAAATTGGTTCAAAAGATTTTTGTGCAAATTCGAAGAAAAATCTAAAAAATCCGAAAATATTATGCTTTATACTAGTCGAAAAAGAACAAGATTTGACTTAATTATAGCCTAACGTAATAATAATTTATTAGACTAATGATTTATTTAACTTTTAAAAAATTTTTTAATTCTACTCCTAATGTCTATAATCTACCCACCAAAATTCACCCTGATTCTCTGAGAGTCACTCTAGTTATACATCCGTCATAATGCTCTTTTTATAAAAATGAAAACTAAATAATGCAACATTTTTATTTCATATTACTATCTTATATTAGCGGAAGATCCTGATAATCGTTCACTTCGAGTGACGCATAAAAAAATAAATGTGGTCAGATGATCATTAGTAATAGGAAATTATATGAGTACAGAATTTTGAACTATGTAAATAAAAACTCTCTCCGTTAAATTTTGTAATTTTATTGTAATTCCGCAGTAAAATTTTTTTTATATAATTTTGTAATTTTACATATTATTCATCAATACAAAAGTGACTTCAACAAAAGAAAATATAGAATGGCGCATAAAAACATGAATAGATATGCTTTCATGAAACTTCATACTAGAATAATAAGCTAAAAGCAACTAATAAAGAGTGGAACGCTATGCTACTTTTTACGTTACGGAAACTTTTGTGTTTTTTTTTCTGCTTCACAAAACACTGTATCTTATTTATAAATATATTAACTGACATATTGAAAAATGTTTCAGAAGCTGAGTTAGGAGATATCATTTTGATAATTGAGAAAGATAAACTGTCATAAAGTCACATAATAATCTTCACGACGAGAGGAAAAGGCCAAACGAGAATATTTGAGGAACTAATCTCCTAAAGGATTGCGTTTGTACCCTCTATTCAATTCTTACTATTTTAAAACAGTAAACAGTTTGGATTCACGACTGTACCAGGTTTAAGATGTAGTATATGGTAATCGTGAGCTGTAGCGTCCTTTGTAGGAGAAAAGTACTAGTACGGAAGGGAATAAGACTTGTCACATATGGATTAATGAGGAGTAATTAAACAATCTAGGATCTCATATAGGTGAACAGTACTAGAGACGTAGGATTATCTTATTGCCTCTCGAGAATATGTGTGGTCCTTTTTAGATGGAGAATTCAAATTCATCGTGTCCTAGCGGTCCAGTGCAGTTGGTTGTGCAGAAAATACTTCCTCACGTAACATGTAGCCACAAATCCCACTTTTTGAGGAATAGCAAAAATCTTAGGGAAAAGAATCGAACCACGATGTAGTGGTTCGTAAGGTGGTCATCATATGACATCCCGTGTCCTGGGGCAATATCAAGAAATTAGCGTAGTAGTTAAGACTTCAATGAAGAAACAAGTTGAGCATCAAAGTATTCAAACTTTAATATCGTTGAAACTCCCTTTTATTCGGATGATTTCCGGATCATTGGAATTGAAAATTCATAAAGGGCGCCAAAGATTCCAATCATCAATGGTGAATGTCGGTGGTTGGCTAATTAAAACCATTTAAACTTTAACCCACCAGGATAAACGGAGAAGCTAATGTTCTTCGACAGTTTCAAGAAATTAAAAGAGGCCACCAGCACTAGTTGGTCAGAATTATAACTGAGTTCTGAGTAAAGAAAGTAAAAACAGGGAATGGTACTGAAAAGCCAGAAGGAGAGAAAGGTAAGAAAACAAGTCAATATCCATTTTTAGTAGTGAAGTTTATGTAAATTTTGGAGGCATTTGCAAATTGATTAATTTACTGTAGATGGTAATTTTAATAAAGGAACGGTGCATCAGGAGTGAGTGTCGCCATAGGAGACGTAATGAAGGGTCCGTAAGTAATTGAGAAAATTTTTAAACACGCTTTAATTTTTTTATCTCATTGCCACGTCACCTGAGTGGTCCGCTAAGGTTAATTGATCTAGAAAGCTTTATTATATAGTCATTGCGATTGAGTACTTACATATTATTCCGAGAACTACGCTTAATACAAAGAAAAAAAAAAGAAATTAGCTTTCATCTCAAACAATGATCATATATCCTTTCTCTTAAACTTCAAGGAGTTACAATTTTATTTGATTTTTTTTACAAGCCGTATGCGAATAGAAATAGTCTTTTAAAAATATCATTAGTCGTATTTATATTAAGTATTATAATAATTTTTTGGGGAAAAAATCTTTCAAGATTTATAATAATCAAAATTAAATTTAAATCAAAATAAAATCTTTGCGGTCAAACGTGCAAGTTTATAATTTTTCTTGCTCATTCAGGTTACTCTCAATTACAAATTTAAATCTTGGTAAAATATGAATAAGTGTTTATTATATTTGTTTTATGTTGAACTGTTCAAACTTCAGACCATTTTTACAATACTATAAACATTTATATATACGCAATAATTGTTCTTATTTATACAAAAAACTTAGAAAAATAATTAAAAACAACAACATAAAATGAGTTAAATCTTGAACAAAAAAATTAACGCTAATTCTCTTTTAAAGCTTTTTTCATAGAGAAAAAAAAACGCGATAAAGATCGTTTACTTTACGCTAAAATAAAATTAACAAAATAAAAATGAATTATCAATTCCGTCATAGCCTTAACTTTAATTGTTGAAATTTAAAAGTAAATAAAAAGATAATAAACAAATTAACTCTATTTTACCAAAACAATTAAATATAATGATGTTTCTTAGTCCTTAGTGAGAATTTTGGAATCCTGTAACTTCCATATCTTGCATATCATAAGAAACAGTTCCATCAACTGCTGCGTCATTATTTGAATATTCTTGGGAAGTAGGTTGGGTAGTTTCGAAGGATTGTTGTTGAATATCATTTTGTTGATAAACATTAGGATGTTGAACTTGTTGCTGAATATGTTGTTGAATTCGAGGTTGTATATTATAATGATGTGGAAAAAGGTAATCAGGGATATGAGATAGATTAATTCCATTATTCAAGAGTTGAACATTTTCTAACGGACTTAATTCAGAATAAGAATAAGTAACACGATAAATACGAGTATCATTTGGTAAATTAAAATAAAACTCAAATTTATTATTATTATGAGGCACACTGTGCAAGGTATTTAAATTCGTATTAGATACTCCAACATTGTTGATTAAAGTATGTTGGATATTTTCGTTATTATTTCCAATTTGATCAATTGGTAAATTATAATAATCTTGTGTATTTTGGTTGTTTGAAATCATGTTAATCATAAAAAGAAAATGAATAATAATTTAAAGGTGTATTATTCTTTACTTTAGGCTTTTTTTTTGACAAGTATTTTGCACGCTTTTATATCTTTTGTTGAATTTAAGTTGGTAACACAGGTCATCATTTTTGTAGATTAAGTTATGAAACAAAAATCTTTTCATTACACAACAAAAAAAGGAAATCTTAATTTGTCAAACGATCATTGTGTAATATTTTAATATTTTTAAAAGGAAATTTGAAATTCTACGGATTTCATTCATTCATTTTATATCGGCCGATTGGGAAAATTGGGCCTAAAAATATGATCTAGCCAATTAAAAAGCACCTCATGATAAATGACTTTCTACCCTAATTTTAATTATATGAGACTGCGTCTATCCTATGATCAGCCGAGTTTAAAATAAGCTTTTACGTATCACGAATAGCCAATATATAATTTAACTTTGATTTAACTTTAATCATTAGTTTACCGGCTGCTATCTCATGACGGTCTATTTTTAAAAATGTACCCCAAATTTTTAGGGACTTCCGATATGCTCTTTATCGGGTTGGGATCAATGATCAACAGTTACTAAATTACACAAAAAAAAATGTAAATACTGACCAATGGTATTCACATTAATTTGTTTGTTATTGGAGTAAAGATGCATCAATGAAATATGATGATATAGATATCTAAAATTTAGTTTTACAGAATTTATATTGTTTCATCATTCAATGGTGGCGTCGCTTTATTTATCCGCGTTTACCGAAATGAAAAACCTTTTTTTAAAGAAAGAAACTTTTTTTTTCCACAAAAAAAAAATTCTTTTTTAAAAACAAGGTAATTATTTTTGGAAGAATTCAAATCCGTGTACTCCTCTACAACTTGTTTAATCAAGTTATAGATCCTTTTCGTCCTAATTAAGGACTTCAATTATTAATATATCCTTTAGATACTACATATTTTATCGTAACTTTATCATAATGAAACAAAAAAAAATAGTCTGAATAATGGCCGAGACTTTCATGTGTTTGTTTTTGTATTATAATACAGTAATATAAAAAAAACATTATCCTAATCAAGCTCTTAAATGATAAACAATGATTTTTTTTAGAACATTTCATGTATATGTCATTGTATTCTTATAAATAAACAAAGAATAATGAATGAATTATTTAAGCAATCAAGTTATCTAATAATAGTAATTTTTGACTTATTAAAATATACGCTATGTATATGGGAACATATGAAAATTTTTCTAATTATCAGACTATCATGACCAATTCTATTATAATAATAACGGAAAAACAGATCCTTTTTTGGGCATTAAGAAGCTTAAATAAAGTTGTGGCAGAGTTGTGGCTTGTATTTTATATAATATGCACATTTATATTACTTATTTGGGTTAAACGTATTGATGTTCTTTATTTTCAATAAAACCTTTTGAGTAATAAATTCAATGAAATTTAATTAATAATTTTTTTTCATGCGACTGCGTCTAATGAGTGTTATGAGTGTTGATTATTTTGGATATGAATATAATGCAAATGGTAAATATTGGTAAATACTGGTAATTTGATCATCGAATTACTACTAGGTAAACGGAACCCATTGAAGTCCATTGCTTATTATAAATACAGTAATTATATAAAAAAAAGGGAAATAAGCAGGGGTAGTTTAATTCAGAAGGGAATTATGACGTAAGTTGAAGGAAGGGAAAAGGAAAGAAAATTGCGTTGTTGATCATTTAGTACACAACAATAGAATGTCCTTTGCTACGCTCCAATCAATAATAAAATTTGATACAACTTTCAATAGATGAAATACGTATTCCTCAGCTGTATATTTATATTTTGATTTTATGTATATATAAATATATATATATAGTTAAAAAAATGTTTTAGAATAAAAAAAAAATGCCAGATTCTTTTAACATAATAATATATAACACAAATAAAAATATAGCCATATCATTATTAACAATTCCTTGCAAAGCAAAAATTTCCATGGAAATAATATCGTGGGTCAAAATAAGGATGGCAATATTATTACAGGTCAAAAAGGACGGCAATAATATCGCACAACATGGATGGCAATAATATTGCGGGTCACATCGAAAATGGCAATATTATTACGGGTCAAATCAGATAATCATCTATTCTGTGTATTATATTTAATAGGAAAGAATAGAGGTGCAGCCTTATCCCTCCCCATGGGTTATAATAGTGTTTGGAATTATGTAATAGTTATTCGAATAACTCGAGTATATTTGAGTATTCGAATAAGCATAGTGGTTATTCGAGTATTCATTTAGCCAGATATAGTATAGTTAAAATTCTAATTGGGCATTAAATCCTTAAATTTAACTGAGTTAAAATCATAATTCAGGCTAAAAATTATGTAAATCGTTACTATAAAAGGAAATTTAACTTATTCGAATATTATTCGAATACACTTTATAAATTTAAATGAATACTCGAGTATATTCGAATATATTCGATTCCAAACACTAGGTTATAACATTGCGTCATGTGTCATATGACATGCATAACGCATGTTACAACTCGTGACGTTTGACATAATGCTAGCCAATGCCGTAATTAATGACATTTGACGCAAAGTGTGACGTATGACGCATTGTATTTGACGTAACTTGATAATAAATTGTATCTTATCTCTACGAAAATTTTTTAAATGCATGCTTGTGGAGTACAATGCGTTATGCTGATCCCATTTTAATAAATCATAATAAATTCGATAAACGCGAAATTTACTTCCTTCTTTTGTTTTACGTGTCACAACCTACAACTCATTATGACAGAAACAGCTAGAACTGATTTACAAAAGCGCAGTAATGACACTTTATCCGAAACTCCTCTTTCACGAAAGAAAGCTAATAAAGGAGGCCCAAAATTTGATGAAGTATGGCAATATTTTACTCAAGGAGAAGAATTAAATCCAGGTCATTATAAAGCTACTTGTTATCATTGCAAATAGTAGTGGTCAATGGGAAGGCCAGTAGCTTTAAAAGCTCACTTGGCAAATGAATGTTTGGCATGTCCTGAAGATATTAGCAAATATTGGCGTGATAAACTTGCTGAAAATACGGTGAATTACACCTGAAAGATGCATTTTTCACAAGATCAAACCCAAATTCCAAAGCCTCAGTACAAACAAACCAAAATTGTAAACCATTTTAGTTCAGATGAGCCACTTCCTCCTGAAATAAATAACCGTATTGATTGTTCTTTATTAAAGGCATGGGTGATGGCAGGGATTCCTTTTGAAGTTGTTGAGAATCCCTTTGTTTTGGATTTATTTAAAAATTTAAATCCAGCATATATCCCTCCATCTCGAACTACTTTGTCTGGTAGACTTTTAAATGAAGAAATTTCGCGTGTTAATAAAAAGGTTACATCTGAATTGGAGATAGCAGATAGTTTAACTTTAAGTAAGAAATTTTAATTTTTAAATTATGTTAATTATTAATTAGTTATTTTAATTTATTAATTCTCATCATTTATTTTATAATTAGCATTGGATGGTTGGACATCCAAACGAAATGAATCACTTTACAATTATGTCATAACAACTTCTGATAGAAAAGAATATTTAGTTGCTTTACGCAATTATTCTATGAAATCACATAGTACAGGAGAATTTCTTGCTTCAGAAATATCAGATATTGTAGAGAAAATCGGTTTAGACAAATTTACAGCTGTTGTCACTGACAATGCTTCCAATTCTCAAGTTGCTAGAAGAATAATAGAAGAAAAATATGGTCATATTTGGGATATACGATGTGCAGCTCATGCTATTAACTTGATAGCAGCTGATTTAGTAAAACTTAATGATATAAAGGAATTTATCTCAAATTGTGGGATGATTACAGGGTTTTTTAATAACTCACATCAAGGTTCTGCAATTTTAGCTCAAGGTTTAAAAGATATGAAGATTAATATTGAGAGATTACAAACATGGTGTAAGACTAGATGGGGTTCATTGTATATGACAGCAGATTCAATTTTACGTGTGCGTCCTGTTTTTGACTGGGTGAGATAATTTTTTTGATTGTTTATTAATATTCTTTATTTTATATAATAATTCTAACAATTAAATACTATAGATTTTATTAGAACATAATGGTATTGTTACAAATTCAAACGTTTATCTCTTTATTCAAGATGAAGAATTTTTTACAAATTGTCGTCATATTCGTTCAATTTGGGCTCCCATCAAGGAATGCATTAATATCCTTGAAGCAAAATCAGCTTCTTTAGCTGATTGTTTCGTGCAAATGATCAAATTAGCAATTGCTATATTTCGTCTCCCTTCATCAAATCCCTTTAAAGCTTCAGCAATTCAGATTTTTAATCTTCGTTATCTTGAATTTCAGCATCCTGCTTACTTATTATGTTATTTTCTTCACCCTTATTATCGAGGTATTTACTATTTTTCAGTTAATTATTAAAATCATTATTGCTAATAATTATTTTGATTTTTTAGGTCTAGGACTTAATGATGAAGGATTTAGAAATGCAGCAATAACTGCCACAACTCTCTGGCAAAATTTAGGATATTCTGAACAAGAATGTAGAGAACTTCTTACTCAATTCNTGGATTTGGGTTGCATTTGTAATTTAAAGTAGTAAGTTTTTTTTTTCTTTTTGGCTCTTTGCAGTATTATCATTCATTAACTGTTACCATATCAACGATTTTTTTTTAAACAGCTTCTGTCATTCATTCATTTATCACTAATAAGATAACAAATGGAGAATTAAAAATTAAATGAGATAAAAAATTAAAATATTATAGTTTTGGCAGAGTAAGTTGTTTTTATTTATACTTATGCACACTTTTCTGAATTTGAATCTCAAAAATTGGTGTTTTCTTAACAAAATTACTTCTGTTGAATTCTTTTAAAAAATAATATTAAATAATTTATCCCTTTTAACCAGTTATGATGACTGTTGGTTAATATCTTGAGGTGTTAAGTAGAAGAAATAGATTTGATGAATCGGAATTTAAGTTTAAACAGGCAAGAAATAATGGAACCGAATAAGCTTCGGTAAAATTTTCCTTGAAAGAGATTAAATAATGTAGGCGTACAAAAAGTTTTTTTTTTTTTCAAAAAAAAAAAATTTTAAAATTATTGTTTTGATTAGTAAACTATATTTATTTATACATTATTAAATATGAATCTTCTATTTTGTGAGTTGTGACTAAACATACTATATATATAGAACCATGGTAGAGGTGATTGTAAAAATTTATTTTTAAAATTGGTATTAGATTTATTTTATAATTATTTTGTAATCGAAGAGGGTCACGATTAACAGAGACGTTGACTTTTTGTTTGTCTCATTGTATTAATGAGCATAGCACTAAATCAAGGGCTGAGTATTTGGTTGTATATGCAGAGACTTGTGAATCTATCTAGCGAAAAAAAATTTTTTTTCATTGAAATTCTTGGTTCTTAATTAGATCAGTATCATTTTGGTTATGAAATTCCGATTGTATATTTCCTTTACATCATTAAAAATAATAATTAAACAAAGAATTTTATTTGGTATAAGAAAGATAAGGTTGTGATCTGTTTTTTCGTACTAAGATTGCGATACAAAATTACTGATACGAAATTACAATATTCATTAAACTCAACTTTTCAATTATTTTCACGAGTAAAATTGCGAGTATTTCCATTATTGTAATTATGACAAGTCTATTTATTGTAATGAAAATAAGATCACAGCGACTTTGAAAATAATGTTGAGAGACAATTTGAGTAATTAATAAAAAAATATAAATATTCCGTCATTACATTTCCAGACATTTTAATTGGAAGAAAATTTTAGAGGCAAAATGAATTCCTGTGGCTATGGGGCATGAAAAGTAAAGATGAGTTTCATTCTTGTCACATGATTCCGATGATTTGTATTTATAATTTTTTCTCTCATTTTTCTTAGTATGCCATTAAAAAAAAAAAAAGATTTTTACTCATAAATATTTATGTATTTAGTATTTTAATCTTGTAGTATGGACAAATGAATAATTCAAATTTTGGCCGTTTAAAACCTGAGATCCTGTCTTATTTTTTTTTTAATAGTTCATAAATAATTAAACTAGATTTTCTATAAAAGATCGATTAAATAATATTATGTACACTATATTTTAAAGAATAATTTCTTTGAAATATAGATTTACGAAAAATATGTGAAATTAAATCTTAAAAAAAATGAGTCGCGCAAAATAATATACCAAAACTATTCATGTCCTTATTCAATACTTTCATATTTCTATAAAAAAAAAAGAATATTATTTTCTTTAGACAAGAAATATTACACAGAGTTGGTAATATTAGATTTACCGATTTTTTTCTTCTTTATTTTTTTTTTTTTACGCGGGATTTGCTCATTAATTTGCCTGGTATACCGTACTTGATGATAAATATTAGCAGTTTATTGTATCTGATAGCTTAAATAATAATTATAAAAATAATTTACGTGATATTTTTCATTCTAGTTATAATATGTGCTTTCAATAATTCAAGATACGAAACTGAACTGAAAATAATACTCTAGATGATTAGACGAAGATAAATATTACAGGAATACAGCAAATTTCTGGATTCGACACTCTTGATGTAAATTAAATTAGGAAATTTAACAATTTTAAATTAATGTTGTTGAAAATATACATAAATACCGATAATTAAGTAGAATTAATGGCAACCACCTATTTGGAGATTCTTTTATTAAAAGAAATCTGTACAGTACAGGAGTGTTTTTAAATTTTTAAGAATATAATTATTAATATGATAATCCGATAGGTCATTTGTTAATGAGAAATCGGCGAGCGAGAACACGTACCAAAAATACACAATAATTACATGTTATCGCACGGGCGTACTTGTTAATGGGTTAATGGTTGTAATATACGGACCAGAATGATCATATTAAGCTTTTACTAATATTAGAGTCAGATTTTAATATAACATCTAATTTTACACCATGTGACAGGTAATATAAAATCATGCGTCTCAATAAATTTAGTTTATAATTTTTATACGCAATTATACAGTATTAAATTCAATTTTATATAATAAGGCAATAAGGCATGCTGCATATTAATTCAAACTATTAAGACTATTAGGAGAAACTCATAATGCTGTCTCTTATACACATCTAGATGTGTATAAGAGACAGCATATGAATTCTGTGCAAATTCCGTATCCAAACCATGTTTTTAGTGATACGGAATTGTGCATTTTTCCGTATCCTATTATGATACGTTATTTCTAAGGAAAAAAAAATCGTATAAAAACTTTATAAAAAACGTATCCCGATTTTTTTATAGGGAATCCGTCCCGAAACTGCACTTTTAGTAAACACGATGGCAATGGATTTATTTTTATTTTTTAAAAAATATAAATTCGCGAATTCATTCTCGTGTGTAAAATTTAGTTTGGGTAATTATTGATCAATAGTAATATTTTAAAAATATTTATTCTGGAATAATAATAATATTTAGTTAATATTTACTAATAAGAAAAAAAAATAAAAAGAAAATGATGAAATAATAAAGAATAATTCAATAATATTAGTTTTATTTATCCAATTTCATTTTATTCTTTTTTTTTCGAACTCTATGACAAATGTTACATTTAATTTTATACAAATAGATTATTATATTTATAGCAACTAATACAGTATAATCTTTTCTTTTACTAAATATATGAGAAGCAAGGGTAGGGGAAGGGGAAGGGGAAGGGGAAGGGAACTATTTAAAAATTTACAGATAAAAAAACTATTCACATAATTTCGATTTTTTACAAGAAAAAAAAAATAATTTGAAACAAATTAAAATTCTGAAAGGTAATTAATTAGTAGATAGATAAATTTTATATATAAATCTATTTTAAAAACTTTAATAAGAAGATTTCTTGTCATCTTTTTTGTTTTTCTTGTAGTAATCATCTTTTTTGTGGTAATCGTCTTTGTGATCATCTTTCTCGTAGTAGTACTCATTCTTGTAGTCATCTTCCTTGTAATAATCGTCATTGTATGTATCATCTGGTGAAGCTAAGGCATCACGTCTGTAGTATTTCTTGTCCTTATCTTCGTAGTCATCTTTCTTGTGGTAATCGTCTTTGTGATCATCTTTCTCGTAGTAGTACTCATTCTTGTAGTCATCTTCCTTATAATAATCGTCATTGTATGTATCATCTGGTGAAGCTAAGGCATCACGTCTGTAGTATTTCTTGTCCTTATCTTCGTAGTCATCTTTCTTGTGGTAATCGTCTTTGTGATCATCTTTCTCATAGTAGTACTCATTCTTGTAGTCATCTTCCTTATAATAATCGTCATTGTATGTATCATCTGGTGAAGCTAAGGCATCACGTCTGTAGTATTTCTTGTCCTTATCTTCGTAGTCATCTTTCTTGTGGTAATCGTCTTTGTGGTCATCTTTCTCGTAGTAGTACTCATTCTTGTAGTCATCTTCCTTGTAATAATCGTCATTATGTGTATCACCTGGTGAAGCTAAGGCATTACGTCTGTAATACTTCTTGTCCTTGTCTTTGTGATCATCTTTCTTGTAGTAGTCGTCTTTATCATTTTTGTAGGAATGTTCTTTTTTCCCTTTTTTATAATCGTAGTAGTAGTAATAATAATCATCTTTGTCTTCCTTCTTCTTATCATCATAATAATATGAAGAAGGTGACTCGTCACGTTTATCATTCAATTCAATCCCGGTATTAGGAGTAGGAGCAGCAGTAACTACATATATATAAAATGAATTAGAAAAAAACATTTTACTTTGTATTCTTTACAGTCAAGTTTTATACTCACCTTCATTAAGGGTTGAAACTCCCAAAATTGCCAAACAAATAGCTATTGTTAACTTCATAATTGAATTTTAGACTTTTATTTTTATTTTTGATTTCGAACTTTTTAATTTATTTCAGATCGAACTGGAGAGTTTTTGAAGGGAGAAGAGTGAGGGTTTATATAGTTTTTGGAATTCGAAATTTTCTATTTATAGTTTACATTATTTTGACTTACCCAAGTTCCCTTGAATAGAAATTTTCATTGTTATCATCAATGATGCTAAATTTTAATTAAATAATCTCTTCTCAATCTATTCTTTCAATTGTTACCTTCGTCCGGCTATTCTTCTCATTCTCAATTCATTCTTTTGAAAATTGTCATTATGAGAATCAGAATTTCCTTTTAAAAAGGAAATTCATACTGGGTAATAATCCTTTAATAGGTTAAATAATTTCTCTACAATACGTAAGCCACCAACAAGTTTTATTAGGGCTTGCATAATAAGTAGTTCCGTCCAATTAACTTACATTATTTAAATTTGAATATTCATTCTAATGCAGATCATTCTGGGTCAGTAGTATCAATTGTAAAACAAGGTTTTCAAAGAACTCGAGGCGAAATGAAAAATTTTATTTGTATTACATTGTCATCATAATATACATGTACGTTTATTATATTTTTTTTATATAAAGAAATGGTAATACCATAAACGTAATATTTTTTTGAATTAACTTTCATAGTCGTACTCGGTATGGCTCATATTAAAGAAGAAAAAATGATAGTCATGCAGTTGTGCATAATATGAAAACTTTAAAGCCTTAGCCGTTTTCAAAAATGATTGATCTCTCTGTTGATCATGAAACACAAAATTTCTAAGCCACGCCGATCACAACTTTTTTTTACATAAAAAACTTTTTTTTTTTTGTAAACACCCTTTAAACATTGTATACTATAAACTCGAAGTTCTTTTAGTAGAAATTTTCTATTTGCTGCTTGACCTTTATATCACACTTTGGATCATACTTTAGATCACAGAACGAACACGCTTAGATTACACTTTCATAGAATAGTGCTAGAATGACATCGTGGGTATTAATAAAATATATTTTTTAACTTGTTGCGAGACAACGGAATAAAAATATTGTTAACATAATACATAAAATATATGAAATTAATATTATATGAAAATTTCCCTAACTAATGATCAAAATTTTTGTATATATATATACATTATTTTTTTTTTTAATTTTATAGACGAGAAGTATAGATAGCGTTTTCGGTAGGCGGTAGTTTTGTAAGTTTCAGTATGAGTTTTTTATTTACTTGTTATTTTATAATATTTTGTAATTTTTAATTTTAAACATAATCAATTTTTATTTAATTATTTCATTTATTTAATGACTTTGAATATTTAAACAAATAAATTCAATAATTAATGATTAATACAATAAAATTTAACCCTTTATTGGCTTCTGATAATATATCTATGTTCAAATTTTTTTATGAAAAAACAAGAACGCGACTCGTTAAATTTATATGATTAGTGATTTTATGTGTCCCGTTACGATCAAAATAAAAATCTTAATATGAAAATGCAGTGAAGGCCACGTACTTTTTTTTTTTGCCCGAATTAATTAAAAACATTAAATTTGTGTATGCAAAGGGGTTAAAGAGTACGATTATATTTTGACAGTTTCAATGAATGATCTAATTTAATATGGAAGGGATCGTAAAAAATCTTCCGATTTAAGTAATTTAAAAATTCTAACTCGATACGAAACTCAAGAAAAGAGAAACGAACTTTTTTTTAAAAAAATCCAATAAAATAATATAAACCAATGCAAGTTTGATTAATATTAAATTTTTGTTACAATTTATTGTCACCACTTCAACAAATCCTCTAAGCTTCTTTAAAAAGGCACTAATTTCTACTAACAACTTTTTGTTGCCTTCCATTATTAGTTGACCGGGTCTTAACCTTCTGTCTATTATATTTATATTGTCCAAATAGCTTCTTATCCTGATCATCCTTCATTCCAGACGCTTCCTTTCTTGGAGTCTTTCTTACGATCTTCGATGTCCGACTAACATCGAAAATCTTTTTCGGGATTCGGGTGTAATCCTTATAAAAACATTGTACATAGTAATATTATCTCGATTCATCACATTTTCATAACTTTTTATAACGTGATTAAAAGAATGTGCTACTTCCAAATTACTATTACAGCTTTAATTCATGAATTTCTTTTTATTATTTTATTTTTAAAATAAATACAGAATCTGGGATTACAAGCAACCGCAAGTAAGCTGTAATTTTACAAAAAAGAAAAACAAGACTAAACTGTGCACATGCGAGTTCATCCAATCCCCTAGGCACTGGAAAGGAACCGCCCTGCCTATTATTCTACGGAATCCTAGGCATAGTCAGATTAAAAGGTAATAAACGGACCAGAAGAAAAAGAAAAATTAAAAGATGTAATATAAAATACTAAGTTAAAATATACAGATAAGAAAGAAAAATAATCTATAAACTGCGAATGTAAATTTTCAAACGACCGTCTATCCTGGCAGTCGTGAATAAAACCACTCCATCCACCCGCGTGAAGATAGTTCGAAGTTATGAGTATGATCCATCCTGGAGTTAAAGGACCATTTGTGTTGCGAGTGTGGTAATAATGTTGTAGTCGTAAACGGTCATCGAAATGATTCAGATTTCAGATGGTCGTACTTTCTTTTAGTCACACGAGATAAAGTCACGTAATGATTTGATGAAGTTATGTGTGCGCGAGGATGCGAACGAGCTAAGTGTTTGTTAAGGCGACGTCTGTGAGCGCGATGAAGGTGCTTCTTTTTCTTGTCGAGGCCAAGGGATTTTCCCAAAGTGGTTATTGAAGTCGTAACCAAATGGCTTTGTAAAAAAAAGTTTGAAATTGAAGCATAAAGCTGATAATTAAATGTTTGGTTTTAGAAAAATTTCGAACATAAGAATGGACGAGGTCGGTGAGGTTTTGAGGAACCAGAGTATGTATAATCAGGTACGCTGGATTGTTTGATCAGTAATATTCGAGAAAAAATGATTAGCATCGAATTCACGTGACAAACGTGAATTATCGATGTAAGAATTATTAAGTTCTTTTATTTTTTCCAATAAATTGTATTTTGTGATGTCGTTCAATTTCGGCAATGACGAAGGACAAAACCCGAGATGAGAATTTGTATCATTGATTCATTGACGGTCTTGCATATAGGACATTTGATAGGAAGTTGAGAAGAATCGTACAGCGATGGATAATGTGCAGCGAGCACCTCGCCACATGGTAAAATGTGGTTTAAGAAGGCCATCTTATTAGATTTGTCCGAGCTACATATATCGTCAGTTCGTTGTATGTCATCCAATCTTGCGTCAAAGGCCAGTTGATAATGGTCAAGGGATGATCCTGCTGGAATATTTGCTATAGGGAGGAATTATTATTATATGAATCTAGTGTTTTAGCATCCGCGATGATATTGGCGAATTTTCTGATGTGTTATTTTCTTTACTTATTTTTATATCATATTAGTAAGATTAATTATGTAATACTGAATTATAAAATGATAAATTTTCAATATTATCAATCTCTTTTTTTTATCGTGATATCATCCGATTTGGATCGCCATCTAAGATAGGACGAGATGAATTATTAGATAGAAATGCAGTAGCCGTATTTTCTTATCGTTAACGATCATGATGTTTCGTTCGTAAATATTTGTTATCATTTGATATAATGCCCCAAATGAATAAATTTAGAAATTTATATAATTTATAGAGAGAAACATAAAATATATTTATTCAATTTATTATTAATTTTCTTATAATTACAAACTTATCATTATAATATTAAAATTATTTTGCACGTATTTCCTCCAATAATTTCTCCAATTTCTCCAATTTCTCTAATTTTTCTTTATCTGATTTCTCTAAATTCTCTAACTTATCTAATGTCTTACCATAAGTTTTTTCTAATTCTTCTAACTTATCTAATTTCTTTAATATTACCTTATTGTCAATAGGGTCATGTTTAATTTGAAGTTTGTCCAATAAATTTTTCCGCATCTCCGCGAATTCCTGTTCCTTAGTATCCCATTCACCCTTTTCAATCAATCTTTCAATTTCTTTTCGAGTCTTATCAGCATCGGCATAATAATGTCTTGAAAAATAAATTTGAATAATTAATAAAATCATAACATTAAATTCTTTTTAAAGTAAAATTACATACATTACTTCAGGAAACCATGTTTGCCAACGTCTCTGATGTGGTAATAGATAAAATAATTCAATCTCAGCCAAAATCTTTAAAAAATAAAAATTGAGATATATTAGTATTTTTACAGAAATGGAATGATTAATATTAATATTATTTACTTCTGCTTTCTGTATCAAATATGATACTCTATTATTATCTTCTTCAATTGCAATATTGAGTAATCCTATTAACAAGTTCATAAGATATACAACAATTAAGAGGGAAAATAAAACAACTAATACTGCAATAGATGGATTGTTTGTATAAGACCAATTGGATAATGCACTTGAATCACCTATTGATAATAAGAATTGCTTGAAATTATTAGAAAACTATTTTTGTATAATTATATAATTATAAAAAATTGAAATATACCTGTTAAAAATAAATACATAGCAAAAAGAGATGTTCTAATATCTATAAACATGTTTGTATTTTCATCAGGTATTTGAATCATGAGTGGGTTGGAGTTTATATTTCCATCAATTATTTGACCATAACTAGGTGTTAACTTCCAAGGATTATTTGGATCATTATTATTTGTATTATATTGATCAAGTAAAACTTCAGATTTTGGTGATAATAAAATATAAAATGCATGTGCAAAACTTATTATAATAATGAATAAGACTATTAAAAAAGAAAAAATCTTTTTTCCAACACTAATAATAATTGCAAAATATACTCCAAAATATTCAAAAGCTCTAAAAAATAACAAAAATTTTATATTCAAAAATAAGCATGAAAAAGAAAGCAATGTAATTAGATAATTATCATTCTTATCATTTGTCATGAGCCAGTAAATAGAAGTGTAAATTGAAAGCACATAAGCAATTATATCTGTAATTTAAAAATATTATATAATTAATTTCACTTTCTTAAATAAAGATATTGTAAAATAATTAAATTAAATATTTTATATTTACCAAAAATATTCCAAAAATTATAGAACCACTTAATAATATTATAAAAAAATTGACGAATTTCAAAAATCAGATGAATAAATCCAAGTATAATTGAAGCAATAAAAAGTTGTTGTCTAACTTCTTCATTGATATATTTCTGAGGAATTGTTGCAGCAGCAGTAAAGCATCCAAGTAATGTCATAAATAAAATCCAAATCATTATATAATAATATTTTCCATAAGTATTCCATTTAAAATTAATTATTGCCTCTCCATTCCATGTTTTATAGATAGTTCTATTTATTGTTTCAGTAAATAAACTAGGTTGAGGTTTAATTAATTCTAAAAACCAGTTATAATCTTTTGAATAATTAACAAAATTAATATAAGGAATCATGAAAGTGATTGTTGGTGTTGTTGTTACATCTTTAAAAGGTTCAACAATGAGATATTTAAAAAGCAAAGAAAGGAAATAGTAAACAAGGGAAAATAAATCTGTAATGTAAATGTCATTAATAAAACTGTATTTTGATAAAATATAAAATGTAGTCAAATAAAGGGGTAAAGTTAAAAGTATTATTAAAACTTGAATAACACATATAATTAAGTATATAAATATCAATAAATCTCCATCTTCTATTATGCAATAAAATTTATAATGGTATTTTGTCCATAAAAGAGATTGAGATAAATTAGCTACTTGGGGAAATTGAAAAAAAGAATAAAGATGTAAATTTTTATTTCGATGCTCTATACTATAAAAAGAAGAATCTATGATCATATTCATTTCCGATGAATATTTTAGAATATATTCTGGATAATATTCATCTAGTAATGGCATTGCAGAAGTGATAATGCTTAGAAATGACTTATTGTTCATTAAATCTTCTTTAAAATAAGTCATTCATTTTTTATAAATCTCATCAATTAATTCTAACTTATGTTCTTTAATTGCAAATGCTAATAATTCAACTCCATAATTCAAAAAACTTGACTTATTATTTTTTATAACTGAAACCCATCCGTCTACTCTAAAACTATCAGAATTTGGTAATGGTAAAGTAGATTTTGAAAATATTTTTTTGTAATATTGAAGTATATTCATATTGTCTTTTCTGACAAATTCAGGTACTGAATAATAAACAAATTTCATAAAATAAAAATAGTTTAAAGAAATAGACTTGTTATTTTCACTAAAAGTATAAATAAGAATACCAAATGTTGTTAATATAACAACATCATTGTTATTAAATAATGAGCTTGCAATTATTTCATGATCATTGTAAAAACCATTAGAAAGTACAAATTTATAAGGACAATAATAGTTATCAGTTCTCCTGATAATTAAATTCCATTCAGTATTATGATTACTAATGGTGGAAACTGCTAGGTCAATTTTATTGTCATCAACACATATATCCCATTTAATTAAATTTCCAATCAATTCAGTTGATTTTTTTTTACTATCACTATCATCACTATAATCATCGCTTATGACTTTTTGAAATAATGTAGACGCGGTATCCATAAATGAATGAATATTTATGGTTTCGTAAGTTTTCTTGATTTTATCGTCATCATCACATTCAATAATTTTATTATTTTCTATATTTAATTCATCAGAATTTTTGGATGAAAAGTTCGTTTCTGACATCTTTTCTTTAAATTTAGATTTCCAAACACTTCCAAAAACTAAATTTTTTGTTCATCAGTTGGTTTATCAAATAAAGTTTGATTAAATCTATTTTTGTATTTATTGTTCCAGCAATATTTGATTTCTTTATCCGGTGTATAATAGAATAAAGAAGGTAAAAGAAATAAACCATTATAATCCATAAAATTATATAGTCGAATATCTAAATAAGAACATAATGGTTTAATATGAATAATAATTAAAATATAAATAAAATTTTTAAAATAGTTACCATTATTTGTATCCAAAGAAGTAATAGGAATTCTAAATTCGATTGAATAAATGATGATTTTATCATTGATTTTTAGAAAAATAAACTTTTTGTTACTGAATATTCCAATATCTTTTGTTTTTAACTAAACAATAAATAGTATTTAATATATTTAATTATCGGTCAGTTTGAAAATAATTTTATAATATTTATTACCTTATTCTTGTCATTATTATTACCAAATATTTTTACAGTTTTCTCAGTATTAATATCCCATTCATAAATGTAATCATCTGAAAATAGGTAAACTTTATCATATTTTGATATACTAATTAATTCATAATCTTCAGGCGTCTCGTAAAATCTCTTACATTCCCATTTGTTATTTTCAGTTTGCGTGGGATAAATCCAAATAGTTTTATGATTTCTAAAACTTACAGAACCAAAATTACTATATAAAATATATAAAATAAGTTCACCTTTTAAATTAAAGTTACAGTAGTAATCTATTAGTTTGGCAACTTTTGTGTTTATATTTAATGCAATTTTTTCATTATTATTATTCATATCGATTACTAAAAAAAATATATTAATGTTAAAATAAATATCAATTACCATAATTTAATAAATACATAATCAAATAATTATCACTTACTAGTAGAAATATATTTACGATCAGTATAAGTAGCATAAGCAAGTTTCTTATCATCAGAAACACACAAACTTTCGATTTCATCTTCATTAATTTTAACAGTTTGATCTAATTTAAGTTGAACCTTATCTATATCTTCAACATTCCAACCGACAATTGAACGATCTTCTTTACTATAAGTAATAAGGTATTTTTCATTTGGTGATATTTCTATCTTAGTAATAGGTTTACCATTATGTGATTTATTATCGAGGGTAAATATTTTGTCAACATCATTTATATCATCGATATCATTGAAGATAAATATTTTATCAACATCATCTTTATCAACATCGATTTCGATTTTGTCAGCATCATTGTTAATTTTTACTGGAATGTTATCCATTGGTAATCGCTTATAAAATATATAAATTTATTGCCAGAGAAATAATTTTTATCTCGTCCATTTGCGATTTATATGTTATTTTGTGTAACATGCATGACTGTACGTAGAAAAAAAATTTTTTTGTTGTGAAAAGTTATTTGGGCTTTTTTATTTGCGCCTCCTGCATAAAAAAAATATTTTTATAGTGATTTTTAAACACTTGTGTAAGCAATTTCCACATACTGATATTGCCACATCAATTTCTAAATCATTATCAAGTACGGTTCTTACTAAAATAGAAACTAATGACGCCCAATTACCTTTACAAGAAGATGCAAAAATGTTTGTATTTATATTTCTAATTTCTACAACAAATGTAGGGTTTTTTTTGTTTGTTTGAAATTTCTTGTGTTATTCATAAAATTAATTTTCAAATGCAAATGATTGATTATCTCTTATATCTGGGAATCAGTGTGACAAATGACAAATTGACAAGCCATTTTCTTTGTTTAAAAAAAACTCTACTTCCTAATTTAGTTTACGCCACTGCAGGTTCCCTTGTATTTTGCAGCAGGTCCACAGTCCACATGATAAACGGATCGACATAAATTTGCCTTTTTGCAAAATTACAATGAAATTTAGTTTTTCCTAAATTATATTTTTTTATTTTATTTTGTTTTTAAAAAATTTAATGAGTTACGAAATTATATAATATTTAAACCATTTTTTTTTTAAAGAAAAAATATGAAATTAGTCGTTATATGGTAACATAATGGTGTAGTTAGCCGAATTCCTGATTGCCGATCATCCGGACCCGGTTTAATCGCAGAAAATCCCTTGAAATTCCACGATGTAATACCTAAGCCCATGATAAGTCACGTTGCCACCTTAGATATTGACAAAATAATACTTTATTAATGATATAAATAAATAAAAAAAATAACGGTCAAATATTTATCCTAAAATTTTAAATAATTCTCAAGATTCGTACCCTCTTTTTAACAAGATCAAATTATCTGCTATTTATAAGAATCCCAATATAGTAATCTGTTAAACTCAACCTACAACTGTTTATATTATGCGTTGCCTTAAAAACTAAATATTTACTAAATGCATTGCTAAAAAGTATTGTTCCACATTATCCAAACGATGTTTATCATTACTAATTCATAATCTATTTCCTTAAACGTAAAGTCATTTTTAAATTATCTTCAAATTTATACTTATGGATCTACAAAATAATCACCTGATATCTTAATCACTTGACCTAATAACTCATTTTTTTAGCGTCATCTCGGACGTTACATTTACAACGTCATACTATTTTAAAATACTAAAAATTTTATAATTCTAAATATAATACTGCTTTCTAGGTAATATTATTATAGCATTACAACGACGATCTACGCCTGAGCCGGGTCTGGATCACGTTGCGACTAATTTATTTTTTGGCCAACTACACCATTATGTCGGTAATGCCAGTCGCAAATATTCAAAAATTATGACCTTTGTAAAAAATTGATTTAGTAAATAGTTTATACGCTAAAAAAAAAAATTATAAAAGAAATATTGATAAAAAAAGCAAATTCCTACAGACACTCTAGGCCCATTCAAGACAGATACAAATTTTAACCGACAATTCAATTATTTATAAACAATATCAAAAAAATTCTAATATATATGATTCGCTTTGAAAATGCAATATGATCGGTTAATGACACTCGCAAAAAATTTTTTCGAGTAATTTGTTTTCTAAAATAAATAAAATAATAAAATCAATTTTCCGAAATGACGATCAACAAGAATCAAAATGAAACTTTTAACTTTTTTCACTCTTGCTCCTCTTAACAATCTTTGCTACTTTTGCATCTGCACGAAAATGTTAGGGATGTTGTGCAGACACAAGAATTACTAGTAAGTTTTTCGAAAATTTATGAAAAACAAAATTATAATTCTGGCCGCATATTTAGTTATTTTTTTGTGATGTTTTTAAATCTCTTTTTTTTTGGATTATTTTTGTTTTTGGCTGTTTTTGAATTTGCATTGCGAGCTTTGCAAATGTAATGTGAATGCAAGCCTGATTCAAAACAATAATATTGCACCTTCCATCAGCAATAATGTATAACCAGTTTTTTTACCACAAATTTCAAATTTAGATAGTTGAAATTTAGATTTTCTTTGCAAATTGTTAAAAGTGTATATATATATATATAATCAATAATACATACTACGTATTATTTACTTGCATTATTTAAAAAGATAAATAATGTTAGTTGTCATTAAATAATTGTAAAATTTGTATCAAAAAAAAAAAAAATTTAAAAATTTTGGTTTATAAATATTTTCAGTTAGAGTATTTTTGTAAATGCCAGTAAAATGTAACTCATAGATTTGATTTCAATATTTCAATACAAAAAATTAAATAATGGGGGACGAAGTCCCCGCATAACATAGTAACACGCTGATCATTAAGTCACATTTTTTTGATTAACCGCTTTTTGGTATTAGACTAAGGAAAAAAATTAGATGCCGCAAGCAATAAAGAAGCTTTTCTACTTTTAGATAACAATATTTTTTAATCATATAATTAAGTCTAACGTAACCATGCCGTCCTTGTAATTCATGCAACAATCGGAGCCTCCATCAAAATCTGCATTTCCTACATACTGTAGGTAAATCTGTCAATTTTGGCCGAATTAGCTGAAATTTTTTACTGAGAAAATTTGGCCTTATAGTGCAGAACCTCTATACTCAACTACTTATGTATAGTAACAATTGATTGATTATAAATTCCTAAAAAAAATTTTTTTATATTAAAGTAAAAAATTTAACCGATAATTTTTATAGATATGACCATTAGCTTTAAAAATTATCGGTTATTTTTTTTCTAAATTAAATTTTGGCTGAGTTTTAGCTGTTTAAAATCTGTAATTTAAATATATTGATTAAATTTAGTCAAAATTGAGACTAGTTTAAATTTTGTATTACACGTTTTTTTAGCTACATTTAATGTACAGATTTTTTTTTTAATATGCCAAGAAGAAAAAAAATTTTAAAACTGCAAAAAAAGATTTAATGAATAAGGTTGTTTAAATATAGGTCAATTTAATGTTATAGATGATAATTATATACCATCAAGTGAATATTTAAAAGACAGTTCAGATGAATTTATAAATGAAAAAATTCAAAAACTAAGTAATTTTACTTTAATTTAGTCAAAAAATACATATAATAAAATACAAATCTCATTATCGTATACCTAATTCATCAGTTTATAATGAAATATAATAAATAAATATATTATATAAATTTTATATCATATAACTTATAAAATCCTAATTTCTGATTGGTTAATATATGTATTACGTGATGCTTACATAATCTGAAAAATTGAGACTTTTTTTTTATTTTATAAATCAATTCTTTTTAATAAATAGAGTTTAATTTTTTTTATAAAATTAAAATCCAATCATAAAATTAAATTTTATTTAAATTTTTTTAAGTTCCTATTATAGAGGTTCTGCACCGTACAAAAGAAGCAATCCATCAAGCTCTCTAAATTTAATGAAATTTACCCTAAATAATGTCCCCTATAAATTGGAATACGACCTATCGAGTTTTATTTTAGTCGCTATTACTACACAATTTTACAACCCTAATTCTTCTTTTTTTATAGTTCCTAATTAACCGACGTCTTTAAAAAAATTAGTTTTTTCTTAAAAATTTAGCAAACAAACTTTGCTGTGTAACCGTTAATTTATCTTTAGTGCTGTGGGCATTTTCGTTTCAAATTTCTTTTTTTTGATTAATTTCTTAATTTCATCGAATTTTTTCATTATCGTACTTGATTCTCTATTGATAGAGGAACAAACTGAATTAAATTAATAAAATTATTAATTCAACTTAAAATTTTAATAATTTAGGTCGATTCAAATTATATGAGACTGTACACATATTGACTTTTAGATCATTATGTAAGAAATCATTCAATCATTCAATCATTCCTCCGTATATTTATTAATTTATACAGTAATTTTACGTAGTATAGTAGTACAACTGTATTAATATCAAAACTATAAATTTATTGTAATAACAATAAAAAATTATTTTTTTGGACATTTCCACGTCAATTAGCTAGGTGCTTCAGGCACCCTGTGTGATTCTTGTCATGTTTAATATTATTTCATGGGGTGTGATTAACTATTTTAACTATTTTAAACTAAAATTAGAAATTTCCCGGTTATCTATATGAGACTGCTGGAAAATAAGTATAAACTCAGCAATCACTCGCAATTTTCAAAAATTAATCATGAGTGACACTTAGTGCGAAAGGGGATTAATTTGCTAAATCATCGTCCCCCAAAAAATTCGCCCCTTGAAATCAGGAAAACTCTTGAAATCGTGATTATACTTTTTTTATTTCGTTCATATAATGTTATCTAGGCTTTACCAATACATTCTCTTTGTATTTATTTATACATATTAGCCCTGTTCATTTCCGGTCGGTTACATTTTTCGGTCGGATTTTGTTGTATAAAAATTATCCGAAAAAATTTTTTATTTTCAATCGCAAATTGAACTGCTTTAGATTGAAATTTAATTCGAACTCCTTCTATTAATATATATTTTTTTTTAAATGTCACGTAAACAGAAATTATCTAATTTTGGTTGGTTGTTTTTGGCGTTCGAACAAAAAACCCCAAAAAATTGGGCTAAAAGTTCAGAAAATGGTTGCGTTGTACAAACTGATCTGCCCAATCAAAATTAACTTAAATCTGACCAAAAAATGCGACCGACCGGAAATGAACAGGGCTATTAGCCCTGTTCATTTCCGGTCGGTTGCATTTTTCGGTTGGATTTTGTTGTACAAAAATTATCCAATAAAATTTTTTTATTTTCGATCGCAAATTGAACTGCTTTAGATTGAAATTTAGTTCAAACTCCTTCTATTGATATATTTTTTTCTTAAATGTCACGTAAACAGAAATTATCTAATTTTGGTTGGTTATTTTTGGCGTTCGACCAAAAAACCCCAAAAAAATTGGGCTAAAAGTTCAGAAAATGGTTGCATTGTACAAACT